GGTTGGGCCCAAGGCGGGACGGTCGAGCAAGGACAGGCTTCTGTCCTGTCTGTGCGAAGACCTCATCTTCAACGAGTGTGGCTGGGTCCAGGACGTCCCCGCCAATGCTGTGTAGTTTTGTTGGGCATCGCGGCACAACGTAAGTGTACCACTTGATAGGCGTCTCGACCTGGTGGGCGCCGAGGCATTCCGCCAGCTTTGCCTTACTTGCAAGTAGTCTTTCCTGTATTTGCTTGTTTCGCGGCTTCAGAGAGTAACCTGTGCTGATATGGTAGACGTGGGGAAGGTCCGCTAGCCCCAGGCCAACGGCCTTACAGACGATCTGTCGTACGGCGAACGGTGCGATCTTCCGAGCGGCCGCTAAGCTTTCTTCCGGGACGCGGGCAAAGATGCGGAGGTCCTCCTTCGGCTGCGCCTGCGGCTGATCCTCGGCGGGGAGTGTGGCCTTCGGGCGGGCAGAGCTCTGGCAGCTCTGGCCGCTCCGGGTCGCCGCAGTGGTGTTGCCCGCCATCGGTGCGACGACAGCCGCCCAACTCCGGGCCGCTATTGGGCTTGTCTCGTGATTGATCAGTCTCTTGAGGGTTTGAATGACATAGGCAGTGGCTTCTTTCGCGATCTGCTTTCTAGAACCGTCAAAGCTGGCGACAACGCTGTCGACGGACCGTGCAATGGTCAGAAAGACGTCTTTCCGTGCCTCGTACTGTCTAGCTTCTTCTGCAAGGGCTGTCAAGACGGACCCTGTGGCAGATCCGCTCGGAGCAGATGCGGTAGAGGCTGCGGGCCCCTCGGCCGAGGTAGGGGCGTCGGTGGTGGCATCAAGCTGGCTTCCCGTTAGGCTGGGCCGGGTCGGCTGTGCCTCGACGTCGCGGCGTCGCTTAGCTCTTGAGGTGGGGTTCGGCTCCGGAGGTGTCCCGGAGCCTGGTTCGGGGTCGGCTTGGTCGGCCGACATCAGTCCGGTGCCCGACGGCGGCTGTGAGGCCATCGCGGATGCGGGCTCCGGCAAGGGGAGGTGAAGAGTTTTCGGCTGTTAGTAATTTGGTGGTAGGCTCACTCATTCACTAACAGCAGATGCCAAGAAAAATTAGGCGAGAGGGAAGTTGGGAGACACTTGTCGTAATGCTTGAAACGAGACATCATCATAGCAAACTCCAGCCCCTACAAGTAACATGCATTATCGTATCACTCCAATTTGTGCTTTCAGATTACCAAGCGTTGTACTCATCAAGGTTCGCAGTCATAGTATGACGATCGATTAGTGATATCAGCCAACACAATGCAATTAGCTGCGTGTGCTCAGGAAATCATTCATTGCAAGTGTCAATTGTCTGGATAACAACAGTTATGCAGCAGGGTCGTGCATATAGTAGTGACACTGACCAGTCATATATCAACTCGTTGGAGCCATCATTTGGCACAGCCTTACCATTTCCCATTGAATTTTAGACATCAGTAACAGAAAGTAGCTTTAATTACAACAATATGTGTTCACACATGTATTGCTTCTAGAGACCAAATAGTCTAATGACATTCACATGGCTGATGATGACATGGAAGATCGTGGTTTTTTCCATACCAACCGCACATGTAGCATGCACAACTCTACATTAGGAACACTCAACTATTTGCGCGGGGATTGTTTGATTATATACGACATTAAATGCTGTGAGGCCATGCATACATATGTCCCTATCCATTCCATAAATCTGGTCAATGTCGACTTGTCTTCACGTCTGCGTCTAAGTATATACATCAACGAAGCAGATTGCACGTAGACTAAGGCATGTGAAGGTTTTCTTCAACATGAACCTCACCTGTCCTCCAATCGTCAGATCACTCGACAGGAACATTGTCCAGTCTATGACAACATGTAGACTTTAGCTGCTTATAGCAAGCATTCCTCTCTGTATGAGAACAAATGCAATAGTCAGACTGTGCACGTAAGCCTCGGGAATCTCTAGTCAAGAGTATTAGGATTCAGTTACCGAGTCAATTGGCTGAAAACTCTAACGCTGTGTCAACGAGACTACGAAGGAGGAGTCGCCGGCAAAGACGAGCAAATCCCATCAAATGAGTTCCCGAGACCTAAGTTCGTTCCCGTCTGGTTGTCGCGCGCAATTTGCGCGAGGCTCAGCTGAACGGGATCATAGATCGGCCACCCGCCGGCGTAGCTGAGCAAACCAGAGGAAGTATCCTTAGCAAAGGTCGTCCACGCCCTCCGAAGAAACTCAGCAGTCGCCAACTCGACTGCAGTGCTGGGCGGTGTCTGAGGGAGCGTCCCGAATAGAGGTTGAAGCTAAAGAAATGTCGTTAGTCAGGCATCCCACGATGTACGGGTCCAAGGAGCAGGGTATACACTCACTTCAGCGCCGTGATAGGCTCCACTGGGCGGGTTGGTAGAGACGGCCAGGTTGGGGAAGTCTCCAAAGTACCGGTACCTCCAGGCCGGCATCCCGTCGTCCACAGCCTGGCTGATCCTGACGGCGTCGCCGCAGGTGTAGTATCTAAAGTTGAAGTCGTTCCAGTACGCATCCGATCTATTGGGCTGAAGCATGCGAAAGAGCCCGGCCTCGTTGGCGTTGTCGCCGATTAGGTACCCAGCCTCGGCAGCTCGACGACCAGTGTAATCCTCAAAGACAAGAACATCATCCACGCCGGGCCCGAAAGCGGGAGTGGAGCCGACACCCGTCTCCTCGGTTCCGAACGCGCCAAAGATTTTCTCGGTGGTCCGGTTCTTCATGCAATCCGTGACGAGGTTGAGGTCGGCGGTACCGCTAATGCCAGTGCCGCAACCGACGGCCGCCGCAAGCCTGAACCATCGGGTCGACGTGTAGTTCTTGCTGAGCGCGGGGAAACCGATGACTGTTGCGCTTTGAAGGATGAAGCCGTTGGCAATGGGGTCCAAGGCGTAGGCGTAGGCGTAAAAGTCCGCCATTCCGGCTCCGGCGGATTGGCCGAATACAGAGATACGGCTGGGATCACCGCCAAAGTTTTGAGCATTGTCGCGAATCCATTCCAGGGCAAGTCGCATATCCAGCAATCCCAAGTTAGCCGTGGTCGCGGGATTGCCTGGGAAGCCAAAGATCCCCAGACGGTAGCTAGGCAGTGTGAGTCTTTGTTCCCAGAAGCTAGAGTAGGGCATCAAATCTCTTACTTGATGGACATCAGAACCACATCCGAGTCGTTTGCAAAGAAGCGGCCGCTGTATCCGTCCTGTCTCGCGCTTCCTGCAACTCGCGTTAGTCAAGCCCTACTCTCACTAGTAATCAAGCATTTGACGAACCATAAGAGTAAGCGCCTCCATGAACCCAAACAAGGACGGCTTTCTTGCGCTGGCCAACTTGAGGCTTAGTCCAAACATTGACTGACAAGCAGTCTTCACTTTGAGGGAAGTCTGTGTCAGACGGCTGCATGCAGCCAGGGCCCTGTTTCGTGGCTTGTTAGATACTTGACGTTCCTACAGAAGCAGGCGTGACCGAAACAACATTAAAGAGACTTACAAAAGATGAGCCATTGATAACTGCAGAGCCATTGAAGGGTACAGGAGGCTGGAAACGCAGCGTACCTACAGGCGCAGCGGCAAACGGGATACCGAGATACTCGGAAACATCGGGGACGTCTTGAGCGGCGTGGCCAACGACACGGCCACTGGTAGTGGAAACTACCTGGCCTACAGACCAGGTATCAAAGTTGGTAGGTTTCGCGGCCACGAGACCACAAATGAGACCGACAATGAGGGTGGTATGCTTCATGATGAAGACCTATCCACGCGAGGGTGACGCTGCTAGAGAATGTGGGGCTTCACAACAAGAGGGTGAACGAAAAGGAAGGGCGCTTCGATGATGGAAGAGATGTGAGTGGTTGGGACTGAAAAGTTGAACGTAGAGTTCAAACCTCTAGGCTCTTTAAATGTAGGAAAAAGGACGGGGAATCGGCATTCCCGAAATCTGCCCATGCAGTCCTGTTGTTGTCACTGCGTGGCTGTGTAAAGTCCTGGCGAGATGAACTTCGGTCCGACTGTAACTGAATATCTCCTTGTATGTAAACCACTTGCCTAATATAGCCTTACGGTGATACTTCAGAAAGCTATGCCCTCGTCCGACTCAAGGGGCTCATCGGCCGAGTGCCATATGCGGTCATCTAGGAGCTCGCAGGAGGAATATTGAATCAACGCGAGACCGAAGCGCAGATTACAGTGTGACTAGACGACTACAGTACCCACGTAAGACTGAAATTCTTTACACGAGATTCTGGGCTTGCCCATCACAAGGTACGCAATCCCTCATTTGAGATGTCTGCTTGGGCAGCTCGGTGCTCGTCATCATCCGCAAACGATACAGATACTAGTTCTTGATGACAGATTATGGAGGCATTCTACAGCCTTAAGCCCGTCCTTGTTCAGCTAACTAAGACCAGGTCGATCCCTGCTTCTCCTCTTTCCTATTGGTGGCTACAGAGAAGTCTAGTCGAGTGTAAGCGGTGCACTATTGTTCCTCGGGAGATATGCTTAACCCCGTGTCAGCAACTAACAGGGATGTAAGGTATTACGGGGACTTTTTTTCCCCTGGAGGCAATTTTAAGCTCAGTCCTACAATAGTTCAAGATGATTGTAGAAACCAAGGGCGGCTTGGTGAAATCAAGGCTTGAACATCTAAGCCTCGGCTGATCAGCATGCATACGCGGCACGTATGTAAGGTCATCACCGCCTGCTCGCAGCTTGCAGTCGAACTAGGCCGCTCCCACGAATGATGACAGTGATCATGGAGATAGCGTCATAAAGACGTTATCGTAAGGGAAGTAGGCATACAAGTATCATCCCAAAATGCCGGGCTCTAGGAACATAAAGAGATACAAAAATAAAACTCTCGTTCTCTCTGGACTGTTTTTTTCAAGCAAGGAACAGCATAGTACCCTGTCATTCTCCCAATTTCATCAAAGCTTTTCTGTGCTACCGTGAGAAACCAAGCACACGACATCATACCACGCCAAGCAGTCAAGCAGTCAACCCGTAAAACGTAAACATGGCACTCAACATAACAAACTCAACAATGTCAACAATGCGCGCCGTAGCCTGGTTCGGCCAACCCTACAACGTCTCGGTAATCGACATGCCCGTTCCCACAATCCTCAACCAAACAGACGTCGTCGTCCGCATCACCTCCTCCGCCATCTGCGGCTCCGACCTCCACATGTACCACGGCTTCGGCGGCTCGCCCAACTTACCCTACGGCTTCGGCCACGAGGCCGTCGGCTACGTCTCCAGCGTCGGCGACGCCGTCTCGAGTCTTACGGTTGGCGACTACGTCATCATCCCAGACAACGCCGACGACGGGCACTGGGGCCCCTCGCACCCCCTGTCCTTTGGCGTTGGAAATTCAAACTACGGAGGGCTGCAAGGTATGTTCTCTTGGTTCTTGGAAGATACCCACCCAGCCCCTATTTCTGTTTCTTGGTCCGTTCGGAGACCGTAGTTATTCTCAGGAGAAGAGACACCCCAAGTTAACCCGTCGTTGCTCCTGTAACAGCTGAATACGCAAGAGTTCCTTACGCCGACACTTCCCTCATCCCCATCCCAATAACCTCGACCAACAACACGGCCGAGCTCGACTACCTCATGATCTCAGATGTCTTCACAACAGGCTGGCACGTCCTCTCCTACTCAGGCTTCCAACCCGGCGACACAGTCGCCATCTTCGGCGCCGGCCCCGTGGGCCTCCTAGCCGCCTACTCAGCCAAACTTCGCGGCGCCTCGAGGATCTACATCGTCGACCGCATCCTCAGCCGCCTCGAGCAAGCCGAATCCTTTGGCGCCATCCCCATCGATTTTTCCCAGGAAGACCCCGTAGAAGCAATACTAAATCGCGAGCCCGGAGGCGTGACGCGCAGCATCGACTGCGTGGGTTTCGAATCCGTCAACGCCACGGGCGACCCCCACAACGGTATCGTGCTGGAGAACATGGTTGCGGTGACAGCTGTGTATGGAGGGATGGGCATCGGCGGCGTCTACAATGGTGGCGCAAACAGCACCGAAGGAGCGCCCAATGCGGGGACCCTCCCGGCGGAAATTCCCATCCCTATGGCCTCGCTCTGGAGGAAGGGACTGTCTGTCGGAACAGGTATTGTTCTGCCTTTGCTGAGGGCTCCTCCCTTGCTGAACTTGATTTCGTCTGGCGTCGCTAAGCCGAGCTTCGTGGTCACCGCGGAGATCGACATTGAGGATGCGCCAGAGTACTACCGCCGCTACAGCGACCACGTGGAAAACAAAGTCGTCATCCGGTTCCCTTAGATAGATCGTGTGTAGCGCGAGACGACTGAAGTGCAGTGATAATAGCGAGTGGAATTGCTCTGGTAGATCATGATACTAAACTTAGCACCTCAAAATAACACTGCACCTAATACCTAGTTGACACGAGAGGCCCAAGTTTCCAATTAATCGTAAATATACAACCTCTCTATACGAATTCCCAAAACAGTCCAGAAAGTACAACAATAGGTAACAAGCACAAAAGAAAGAAAAGTGGCCGCTAGACATAGCGGGAAAGGAGTGGCGGGTAAAGAAGGAAAGTTGACGATTTCGAAGTTGGCTGTGACATGGCAATGTGCCAAGGCGTCGAATAATCATGGTGATGTGATAATAGCGTATATGCGCCAAGAAAAGACTGGCATCCGCTGCGAGTAAGGTATGCCTGCTCACATGGAGTTTTGTCGAGCTCCAGAAGAGTCCTTAACACTGCCAGTACCGTAGGCCGAGTCGGAGTTCATGAAGCATTGGTCGTCCGACGTTGGGAAGTCCGAGGGAATGTCGAGCGGATCAAAGCTCATGCTGGTGAAGTGGAAATCGAAATCAAAAGGGCCGAAATCCCAATCTACGGTGCTCTCGATAGCATCGGCACTGGCATCGACACCAACGTTCAAGTTGATGTAAGGGGACGCCTCCAGCGACACAGCCCGGGATCCTCGCGCAGTCTCTGGATCATCCAGGTCCGCCACCTGCAAAGGCGAGGGTATGTGCTCAAAGATTTGGGCACACCTAGCCGAGCTGTTCCGGATCCAGACCGAGAGGCGATTCATCAGACCATCCCCATAGCTCTCAAATGAGCGGTCAAGGTCTCTTTCGAGCTCGCGCTGAATCATATGGGGCAATTCACGCCGCACGTACTTGATATACTCCAAATCTTTCGAGTTGGAGTCGCCTGCATTCCTCTTGTCCGGGCTGGCGTCATACCCTGATGCCAAGGTCAATTACTTAGGCTTTTTTCTCATCTCAGGTTTCTATTCTAAGTTGGAGGTTCAAACTTACAAGGACTTGGAGGGTCTTCCGAGTCTTGCGTCCCCGGAAACAGGGTAAAATATACTTCGTACCACTTGCTGACATCGTCCTGCTTGTTGGCGTCGTGCTTACCAGGTTGCCTACGCGCTCTGAGGTGCTTCTCCGTCTCTTGATCCATCCCTGCGCCTGGGTCTAGCTTGCGCTTCTCCTCGTCTAGGACGGGGCAAGATACAGTTGCTCTTTGGTGCTCCTGGAGTGGCTTTTCGCTCTCGAAGATATCGAAACACCTGTTGCAGGCGAAAATGCGATGCCTGCGGTAGATGTGCTCCCTTAGGCTGCGTTAGTGGAAGTATTTCATCGCTCGTCAGATTTTCAACTCACTTGACCCGATGAATCTCGGGCCAACCAGGACCAATGCAGGTTCGATGGCTCTTATATCTGACGGGATTGTGCTTGTAGAAAGGACATGCAAATTTGGGACGGTTATCGTCCTCGTCCGTCTTCGTACGCTTCTTATTGGGCTTCTGTTCTTTGCTATCGTCGTTTTCGGAGCCTTCGTCGTCTTGATCGCGCCCCTTGAGTTGCCGCTTCTGACCAGATACGGGACGCTGTTCGGCAGCGCGCCTTCTGACGCCTCCTGATCTAGAGGCTTTGGAGCCACGTTGGCAGTCCCCGTCCTGTTCGTAGGCCTCCTCGAGAGGATAGACGTTGTCGTCAAGCCATTCGCAGACCTTCGCCATAAAGATCTTGATGAATGCTTCCTTGCGATAAGCCAAGTAGTTGTCAATATATGCGGCTGGTACGGGACTCGTCCGATTTCGACCGGTTCCCGAGTCAGTAGTGCGAGCAGGCCGATCTGCTAGTTCGGATCTGCGAGATAAAGAGGTTGATGAAGGTGATGATCTGCTTGAGATGTCAACATGCCGTAGAGTGTAACTCATTGGGTGGACTACCTCTGAGGGGTGCTTTGGGCCTCACTTCCTCCTCCACTACCTTCAGTTGGGGATGAGGGTCTGTTGCTGTGTGTTCCCTGCTAATATTAGCGATTGACCGAGCTGATAGTGGAGAGGTCGGTACTCACTGATACTTGTCTCACTACAAGGTCTGAGTTGGCTCGAGTGCTTGAGGACTTGGGTGGTTTGGAGGAAGGGGTTTCGTGTTTCTTAGGCATGTCCGGTGAGAAGTTGCCCGGCCGGCTATGGTTGAAAGCCTTGAACCGGGAAAGCAAGTAGGAGAAATCGACGATGGACTTCTTCGATGATCTGCGGGGGTATCGAGGAAAACAGTTCAGATAGGAAGGTCTAGAATAGGGGGTTGGTCTTGAGACGGCCTGCATTTCCTCGTACGGGTAAGAGAGTGAACGCTAACACTGGGGTTGGAACATCCTGCTCTTTTCTAAAAGTTGGAATTCTGCTGCCTGGAATGAACAGGTGAACTTCAAAGGGATTTTTGGAATGCTGAGTTGCGAATTGGCTTTGTTCGATGATGTTCAAGCAGGGGTGGAGCCAGGCTTCAAGGCAGCTCGGTGTCATTATATCTTCCTCAGATTCCGGTCTCCGCTGCTGACACGACCCCCACTTCTCGACTCCGCGCTTGTAATCGTGCGCGCATTTGCGAACAACTTCTTTGAGAACAATCGAGGGGGCGCATGTCTCAATAGATGCCGCCTCACTCTGGGGAGTCCAATGGCGAATGCAGAGCGAAGGTGATGGTTGATAAGCCCATTGGACGCCCCATAAGACCACAAGAGACGCAAGATCTGGTCATCTAGGGTGGGACTTGGGAGCTGTCCGTCATTCCATCCCAAACGGTGGAGTACGCAATGTCGCGCATGTATGTCCGCATACAATGTCGCCGATGGTTCGCACGCGATCGAGACTACTCAATTGCGGGCGACGAAGGCCTTCACTCGAAGCCGAGGGGGGTGGTATTTAGCAATGCGATATCCGGTTTGTCGAGGATATCTCTCCTTCAGCGTAGGAATCGCTGTTGGTTTGGTGCCTGCCCGACTCAATTGACTTCCTGAGCACGAGAAGAGCAGCAACCAACCGCATGTACGGAAAGCACCGTAAATACTTACAACTACCCAGGGGATAGCCTCGATTGACTTAATGCTGACCAGTTCTCAAGACCAGAACCATCGACGGTGCTCAATCGGGCGAAGTCAGTCGAAACGCCATCAATCGGAAATGGCAATCGGAAATGGCCGGCCGTTGCGACTGTCTTCGTGTCTCCTCCACTCGATCGTCCGCCCATGAACATTTCCGGTGAAAGGTATGGCCCAAATCATGCCACGTCAAGTAAGTGAGGGGTTGAATTGCGGCAATGTAGGGGTCAATGATCGTCGGAGAGATACGGACTGCAGTCGAAGGGGCTAACTGCATTACGGACCGTCGATGAAGCGGACGGACGGCATTAGGTCGGCGAGGTACCTTCGTCGGCAGGGAACCGGACGTGACGAACACGTGAGAGTCTGTGACTAGCGGCAGCAAGTCGGCAGCTGAAGAGGTCCCGCGTGATAAGACGCAGCCGGTGGTCGCATTGTTGCAGCAACTCAGGCAGGCTGAGGAGGGGACCCTGTGGCGAGGAACACAGGTTCGTTGCCTGTTCTGGCCGATAACGGGTAGACTTTCCGGCGCTTCGGTTTGGTTTTCGTAATTTGCCTTTTGGGCTATTTCAAATGCCTCGCGGGAATGTTTTTGGAATCAAAGGTGATGGGAATCCGGGATGATGGTTGTAGGGAGGATGGAGGGAAGTTGTGATGGAGAGAAAAAGAGACGATGTTTGAGACGGAGTCGTACAGGAAGTCCAATTAGAGTTTGGAGCGTGCACAGTCAGGCTTTCGGGCCTTTTGTCCTCAGGAATCAGGGCATATACGTACCCTTCCAGCGTTTGCTACCCCTAACCGCCGCCCCTGTCCGCTTCATTTCCAGCGGGGTTCACTAATTCGTCATATCTCACGGTGTCCTGCAGGTCCAAATTGAAATCTCGTTCCTGGCGACTGGCCATAGGATTCGTGAAGATCGCTGGGGGGATCTGAAATCAGACCAGATATAGGAAAGCCTACTTATGGTTGGATGAGTAAACAATGCCCTTTACGAGATCGCAGAGCCTCCATTGCATCGCTAATACGAGGATCGCCTTAGATTAAGCAGCAGTCTTCTTCAGGAACATAATTCGAAAGCGGCTTGTGAGAATGGACGCGCAGCAGAATTCAAATAGAGTCATTAATAGTGATATGTGAGAGAAGAAAATACGTTTTGGGTATATTAAAAATGGTATCTTGCAAATGGCAGAATCTTTTATGGCTTCGTAAGAGTTCGCTGCGTTTCAAGCTTCCTGCTGAGAGCTGAGAGCCGAGAGCCGATTGCCGAGACCTCAAGCGACGGGTATTCCTACTTGCGCGCAGAAGCCGTCATAAGAGTCGCCCTGAGCCAAGTCGGCACCCGTCTGGTTCTGGAATGAGATGCGGTTCAGAGTGTTACCATCGGCCTGGTAGTTGGGCCACGTGCCGTGGCAGTTGTAGTTGAGGAGACCAGACGCTGGGTCCTTTGCAAAGGCCGCCCACGCACCACGCATGTACTTGCCCACAGCATTCTCCTGCGCTGTGCTGTTGATTGCCGTCTGGGGCACGGTGTCAAAAAGGACAGGGAGCTAATTGAGCGATGTCAGTAACATGTCTCAAGCCAAGACTAATGACGGAAAAAGAAAGTATGACGAACCTCGGATGCGTGCCATGCTCCACTAGGTGGCGTCGTTGTGAGGGCAAGGTTGGGGAAGTCGCCGAAATAACGGTATCGCCATGTTGGGTGGCCCGCGGAGACGGCCCGCGCGGCTCTTCTGGCAGCAGGACAGCTGAAAGCGACAAGGTTGAATCCAAACCAGTATGTCTCGTTGAGGTCAGGGGCCCCGATCTTGAAGAGACCAGCCTCGTTCTCAGTGTTACCGATGAGATATCCTGCCTTGGCCGAGTCGCGGATGCTGTAATCGGCAAAAATAAGATGATCGTCTACCACAGGAGCGAAAGAGAGCCCTCCAGCAGAAGCAATTCCGGCATCTTGAGAGGAAAGGCCCGAGAGAAGATCCGTGGCGGGCTTGTTGAGCATGCAGTCAGTGACCACCTTGGGATCGGTCAAGTTGTTGCCGCAACCGACCGCTGACGTGACGTTGAACCACTTCTCGTTCACAGTCTGGTTTGTGAAGATACCGAATCCAGTAGCCGTGCCACTCATGGGGATGAAACCACTGGCGATGGGGTCGGACGCGTATGCGTAAGAGTAGTAGTCGACCAAGGAGCCCCCGGCGGATTGACCAAAGATGGTGATTCTGTTGACGTCGCCGCCAAACTTCTCCACATTATCGCGGACCCATTCCATGGCCAGGCGAATGTCGAGGAATCCAAGATTTGGGGCGGACATCGGGTTGCCTGGAAATCCGAAGAGGTTTAGGCGGTAGCTTCAAGGTTGACCCGAGTTAGCATTGTCGATATCTAATTCCCCGAGGCTCCGCTGGTTACTCACTTCATGGACACCACCACCACGTCATTCTGGTCTGCAATGAACCTTCCGTTGTACGCTGGGATGCGGGAACTTCCTGTAGTACGAGTCAGTTCACCGTGCATGCTTTCTTGATATGTTCAGACGAAGGCATTCTTACCTGTGGTGAAAGCACCCCCGTGAACCCAGACCAGCACAGCCTTTTTCGAGTCGCCGGCCTGTGGCTTGGTCCACACATTCAAGGTCAAGCAGTCTTCGCTCTGAGAGCCCGTGTCACCCAGCGCTTTGGTCACCTCAACGGCTGAAGCGGGAATACCGAGCTTCATGACAGCTTCCAGGCTGGTGGGAGCGTTTCCCGGCTGCATGCACTGGTGTCCCTATTGGCATGCATCAGTATACCGTTGACAAGACATCGAATGAGAGTCTTTGAGGAATGTTTTCAAGGCTTTTAGGGAGGCTTACGAAGTCGGAGCCATTGAGAGGAGAAGCACCGGTAAACTTGACAGGAGGCTGGAAGCGCAAGGGCCCAACCGGCGGCTGAGCGTACGGAATACCCAAATATTCGGATACCTAAAAAGGGCCTCTGTTAGTCGAATTTCCATCACTTTCTAGCTAATATCGACTTGCCTGTTCGACGCTAACAGCAGCGTGTCCTGCAACGGGGCCGCTGGAAGTCGTCACCGACTGTCCGATAGTCCAGCGAGGGAAAACCGGCTTGGCAGCAGCCAGACTGGAGGTGGTGACCACGACCCTCAGGACATTGTTGATGATGCTTTGGGCTCTCATGGTGATGTTGGGGTTGAGAGAGCTCAACTAACGATAGACTAGAGACCTGAGGTGAGGTGAGGTGAGGTGGGCGTGGTGGAACCAGGAGACTGGCTCTGAAGTTGCGGATAGGCGCTATTAAGAGGACCGCCTTGCTGGGCACGCAACAGGAGGGGACCTTGACCTCGTCTTTATGTCAACGAACTTTGCTGAAGCCATTGTGGACCATGCTTGCCGAGGGGACGATCCTCAGCTCTCCGATTGCCTTGGGCCGCTCCCAAGAATGCGCGATGCCCTCCTCAATCGTCCCATTATCACGAAGGGTACCCCGGATAACTAGCCCGCTTGCCAGTGGACGTCCTGAAAGACGGGCGGGACTCGCGTCGACCACTCACCTGTTTGCTGCAGGGAACCCTGTCCATACGGACGTCGTGGCCGGGCAAAGGTGCGGATGGCAGGCCAGTTCGTGGGATTTCTCCGATAGAGCCTCAGTAACATTAAGTCGACTAGTCTATCGAGGCGGCCGGGGTTAGTCGGGTTGTGGGTAAGTTCGCAACACTATCCGAATTAGGGAGCCTTGCTTGCCCCTCTCAATTTTCTTAGCAACTCCCAAATCCAACCTTGTAGCCCACAATGGAGAAAATTTTCGTTTTCCTTCTAGATACTTGCAGCCATCAAATGCGCGTTGACAGCCGCATATGCATCTCGAAAACCATTTGTAAATCCAGCCGCCCGACTGACAGACTGCGGAACAGTGAGACAACTCCATCGTATGCACGGAGGGTCCTCAGCAACGGTGAACCTGGCGAGCACAAGGTAACCGAAAGCTAGTGGAGCGGGGTCACTAGGTCGGCGCGGCAGTGCCATGACTTGCCATGCCGCCTATTAGGGCCTTCTCACGAGTCGGTGAGTTGGCAGCGCTGAGTTGATCGATGCCAGTGTCGATTGGTTGTTCTCTCATCGCCTGCACAACCAACTTTCATACCATTCCCAAGAGAGGATCCGTCGCGAAGAGTGGGTTTGCTGATGGCGCAATACTGCAGCAAGCGTGAGATGATCACCTTGCCTCGGAGACTAGTGCTACACCTCCCTTGAATGAACCGTTGCCGTCCTATGGGGTATTCATGAATACAAACGTGCCGACGCCGGTTTGTGTAGTTGGAAAAGCTAGCCCAAGATCGATGCCATTAGACTTTCTCAACGTCAATGCAGTGAGTGAGGGCGCAGCAAAGTCAGAGACGGAGCGTCCCGCGCTCGAGAAGCGAAAGCGCGGTCGTGGACAAAGCGTGAGTGCCGAAACCGAGCATCGAATAACATACGTTGCTTCAAATCTAGAAATGGTCTTGGCGTCATGTTACCGCATTGTAGTCTTGAATTGAGTTCAAGTTGAGAACAGACGAAAGGCATAGTAAGGCTGTACAGCACAAATAAGATGGCTTACAGCCAGTGAGAACCGATTTCCGCCATGAGACCAAATTGATAGTGCCGTTGAGAAAGATTGCCGCACCTCCCATACGATGGCCACGCGTTCGTCTTCAAAGTCTGATGGGTGCGAAGAAAATAGCGCGTATACGGTGCAAGCCCTGTTGACACCCTAGTTTCCCGGTCAGAGAACAGTCTGTAAGGACCGTCAAGATGATCCAGATAGACGAGTTTGCCAGATTTGATGACGCCTAGACCATCTGGCGGTAAAAAAGCAGCAGACTCGACGTTGCAGCATTGGCGCGCCTCGGCTGGACTAGTGAACGGCCATAGACAAACTCTCAAGGTTCCGCCTGCAAACTGTGGAGAGCTCCTGAAGCTAACGCCGGTTGCCCCTCATCGTAGTACGGCTAGGATGATTTGAGATCGGGGTTCCCCGCGATGGGATACAAAGCTTGGATGTTGTACGCGACGCGGCAAGTCCCCGTAGCGTAGCAAAGCCTGGATGGCATTGTCACTAAGAACACCTGGAGACTGAAGTCAACATCATGTTTATGAGGCGTACCTATTGTACAGGGTGGCAACACTTGCTAGCTGTGTAGTATGCCACCTATGCCTCGGGAAAGGTTTGGTGCCATCGCAGCCCTTTGTCCTGTTTGATCTTTGAACTCTTGCGGTTTGCCATGTGCCTCTCTCATCTCCAGGAATGCGCAATCTGGATCGCTGATGATGATGTTGATAGTGTAAGAGTTCGGAATTCCGGGCGCAAGATGATCCCGGATGATGCAGGCTATCTCTTACAGCGCGATGCTCTACTCAGCAAACCCGTAATAATTCGAGATGTTTGGCCGAACAATGCCTAGGCGTAGTTGCTCAACTGCCGATACTGAATGGAGTGACGAGATGTATTTGCGCACAGGTTCCCGATGATGGAGGTGTTGACAGTGACAGTACGTAGTCGAGAGTTCATCATTTGCTGCACCCCTGCTCGCGGAAAGTCGACCATGTCGATCTCGTAGGCCGAGGCCCCGGTCCGCGGTCTGCAGGCGATCGTGGAGAAGATATTGAGCAGTGCCAAGATATCTATATTCAAGTTGCGATTGGACAACCTGTAGGTAATGTTTGCTATTCGGGAGCAAATCCAGATCTCGGGGAGCTTTGTTGCTGGAGACAAACAAGCCGATGGTTCGGAACCAATGCTGTGGTGAAAGTCGCTGATCTTGCGGAGAGGTTTGCCGCAGCCGCCATCAGAACTCGCAACAAACTTCCGATTAGGAAAGTGAGTTATCATCAGGGAGCACTTCTTCATCGCCTAGAATTAGTGCTGTTTGTCTCGCAGAAGTGCCCGTCGGACCTATCATAAGACGCTTCAAGGTGGGCGTCAAGGCTTTTCGAGGCGTTCAACGAGGTGCTGCCATCCCCTCGGATGAACGGAAAGTCGTGCATACTAGGGTGAAAGCGACGTGGCATCGGCTTGAGATGATCGACATGGTATCTGCATATACGGGTAACATTGTTCGACGCCGTTAAGGGTGGTCATGCTGAAGTGGCAGGATATCGGCAACGATAATGTGGACGGTTGACGAAAGGTAGGTCTACGATGGGATCGCGGGGGAAGGCATGGAGAGTGCCTTGGCGTCGGCCAGTGTGGGTCTACTACCTATGCTAAGCGAGGGTGAGGTGGTGCGGAAAGAGCAAATAGCTCACTCGCAGGTGCGGTCCTTCTCACTTCGGTTCTTCAATTTCATCGTGCCTTGTCCGATCTCAGTACTCATCATGAGTGTTAACATGAGATCAGCTATTGAGCACACCTCATTGATTTTTCATTGCTGTGCCACTCAACGCATCGATCTCATCGGGCAGCAAGTCACAGCTGTCATGTTTGTGCAAACACGATGATTTCACCGTTAATTGATTGTGTCCGGAAATAGGTGCCTCTTCGATGAGTTCTCACTTTGCAACAGGCAGGTGCTTTTGGGCGTTTCATTAACTAACATTACACTCGTCAATAGAGCCAGCTGACTCTGAGATAGATATCCATTCTTCCGCCGCTCACCCTAGCCATCTCCGCGAGTCTCATACTGCGGATACTGTCACTGCTCCTGTGAAGAGAGACGATTTGGATCTCAAAACACTGCCTGCGGTCATATCGATTTGCCATGTTGTCCTCCCTGGTCGGCTCGCAAGTCGGGGGTCGTATGGAGCCACCTGATTCCACCTGGAGGATTTACTCTCGCCTCGAAAAAGCATATTTCACGAAAGAGACTCAGTGGCTCTTGCTCTCCTTCTCCTTTCTCTTAGCCGCGATAATGCCATCGAACCTCCAGAACCCGGGCAGTCCCTCAAAGAACAAACTTCCGATCCATGTCCACCACAAGGTAGTTCCGAATTCGATGCCGTGCCTTTGAAGCCTCGTACGGTGAAACCAAAAGCACTCGCTCAGGTGAATTCCCAACACGGGCAGGAAGATAGCCTTGACCAACCACCGATAAAACCTCGGACCGCCGGGGAACGCGGTCTGGAGGAAGGACCAGATCGGCGTACCGGGCAGCACAAACCCAAGCGTGAGCCAGCAGACAAAGTAGAACGCAACGGCCCCAAACACAACCACGTCAAAGCCCTGCGGCGGCGCAAAGTGCCCGACGGTGATGTCGCTGTACCCCAGCGCTTGCTGCGACGCGCGCGCCATCTCCACGACGGCGGGCCGCACGTCCTCCCACGCCGTGAGGGCCGGCTTGAACTCGATGAAGAACTCCTTGCCGCCGAGCCCGCCGGCCGCGATGGTCATGCCTTCGAAAGTGCAGTCCTTGAGCCACGGCGACGAGGCGGCGGAGCGGCTGAGGCCGGCGTAGTGGCGCAGGTAGAGGGAGAGCTCGCGCTGGTGGTCGCGGTTCATGTGCGTCATGATGCGGTCGCGCGGGGAGGGTGCTGACGAGGGATCTGTGGCGGACGAGCCCATCGCCGCGGCCGAGCCAGATGAGGCCGTTTTTACGTTGCCTTGGCGTGCCATTGCTTCGAATTCCTGATTGGGTACCGGTAGGTGGGATACTAACTTGGCGTGTGGTGCGACAGAGAGTTCCGATGGGTAGATACGAATATTCGTATTGCTGCGATGGACCAAGGTTTGATCATTCACGGGTTCCTGGATTCTGGACCGCCCGCTAGGTTTGCAACGAAGCTTAAAAAGCAAGATCGAAAGGCTCCGTTCGAGAGAATTGGGGTGAGTGCGGGAGATTCGGGGGGAAGTAGGTGTTAGGAAAAGGGGCCTGTGAGGTTGGTCATTGAGTTGGAAGAAGAAACATTGAAACCAACGGCAAGGAACCAACAAAATTGCGGTAAATGGTCTGTGCGATCCTTGCCCTTTGCAGACGTGGTTCGGTGTTCACTTCTCCACCGTCTATCCGGTGCCGTCGGCTTTCGCCTTGGGTCAGCTGTAAATACGCATGGCCCCCCCACGGGCTCGGCTCCAGGATTTTCTTCTTCTGATAGAGCGACGATGTCCAGTGCAACGTCAAAGTTGAACCAACAGGTTGGACCGACAATTTGGAACCGAAAGAGATAAGAAAGCGATGCTGTCGCCCTGACAGCTGTCAAACTATCTGGTCTAGTGGGATGGCCGAGAACAGGGGCGCTGGAATGAACTGAACACGTTCACAGGTTTCAGGCCAGCTCTCGGATACGAATACCGTTTTTGTGCCTCGCTCTCGGAACCTCAAGAAGCTTTGTGTTCCGATTCTGTGGGCCATGTCACCGGCTGCACTGCTCGGAAAGGTATCGCTGTCTCAAGTAGAGATTGGAAGACACCAATTTGGGCTCGCGCCAAAGTAATAACGCCGACCCGTGATGAACGTCATTGTCAGATAGCTTGAAAAGTCTGGATGATTGAAAGCTTGCGCGAGCGGCCGATGGCGTCACATCGCGGGCTTGACAATGGCCAATGTGCCCATTCTGCTTCGAAGGGATTATAAATAACGAGATGAAGTAGATCAATGACCTACCGAGTTTGCCAAGACTATGCTAGGGCTGCGAGAGAACTCAATTGTAGAAGTAGATCATGCCTTTCGGATTAAGTCTCCGAGAGGCTTAGAGCCGGTCCGGGCCTTGATGTGGGCCCGGATGGTGGAGTGCGGGGTACCCGTGAGCCAAAAGCCGGTCCGGTCCCGGACCTTGCGCCGTTCAAATGCGCAGTCGCCGCCGGAACGATATAGCCCAGATACTATTGAGACTGATTTAGCCATACTATTTCCTCGGAAAGCTGCAGAACGCAATCGAATTGTACGCTTCCCCCGTCTCATAGCAGCGTTGAACAGCAACACTGGCAGCCTGGCAGAGATAAGCCTCTCAGCGTCCTACCTCAAGCCCATTTCACCAGGTAAGTGCGAATGAATGTACGAACAGGCATAGAATCCCGCTGGCTTTCTGCTTGTTTACTTATCTTCACGCAAGACCGCGGCCTGCGAAATGGCACCGGACAAAGCCCGCGTCCTCCTCGTCGGATGTGGAGGCATCGGCACGATCGCCGCTCTCAACCTTGAAGCCGGAGGATTAGCTCGAGTCACCGCTGTCCTCCGCTCCAACTTTGATATCGTGAACCGCAATGGTTTCACTATTCATTCTTGCGAACACGGAGATAAGGAAGGCTGGCGACCTACAGAGGGTCAGTTCCGGTAACCCCGCTTCCTTCTCGCAATGTCGCTTATCATAGTCGCAACATCCTCAGTCGTGAATACTGTCCCGGCCTCTGCAAACTCAGGCTCTGATTGCTCATTCGATTACGTCGTTTGCTGTACCAAAAACGTTCCAGACGCCGGTCCGAGTCTCCCAGACATCATCGCTCCAGCCGTCACCCCAGGCCAGACGGTCATCGTACTCATCCAGAACGGTATAAACATCGAGCGACCCTTCTTGAGACGTTTCAAAAAGAACATTGTATTGTCTGGCGTAAGCCGCATTGATGCACACGAACATTCTCCAGGCGTCATCGAACAGAAGCAGCCCGACCTCCTCCACATCGGCCCTTTCTTCAACGCCTACCGCGAATGGCCAGAGCACGAAGAAGCCGCGAAAAGCTTCGTTAGAATATACAGCGCTGGAGGCAAGACAACGTGCCTCTACAAAGAAGATGTCGGACTCGACCGGTGGAGCAAGCTCGTCTACAACGCATCGTTTAACCCCATCTGTGCTTTGACGAGGGTGAATGCCAGTCAGCTGCAGACGTCGAGCGGGTCGATGGACTCTTTGGTTATCCCCGCCATGAAAGAAGTGATAAAAGTAGCCGCGGCTATGGGCCATGATATCCCGCCAATTGCCATTACGCAGGCTATGCAGATGAATCCAATTGATGAGAATATCAAACCCAGTATGCAGGTCGACTTCGACAAGGTACGACACTCTGCTGTGCATTCGATTAGGCCCGGCTATACTCACCAATCTTCCTAGGGAAATATGATTGAGCACGAAAACATTCTGGGGGAAGTTTGCCGAGTCGCATATCAGCGAGGCGTGGCAACACCCATCTTGGAGGTGCTCTATCAGCTCTGTTGTGCTCGTCAATTCAGTGTCAAGAGGGACCACGGCTTAGCATGAGCATGATACGATCTTTGTGATATTCAAAGCTGTTTTGCATCGTCACCAGATTGATGAATGGTGTCAATTTCAACAGCGTACTCTGAAGAAGCCGCATTCTTGAATGTAGATGTGTGGCCGAAATGTCCTACGAGAACTCGGTCAACGCCTGTGTGCCAACTACAGTGTGCTTTCTGAGACCAAGCCATCTCAGATGATAGCCTTATTGAAACGATTTCAATAAGGCTATTGATTCTTTACCCTTTGCCGCATATACAACAACAATCTTCGTTGACCCAAATTTCGAGGGGCAAATGCCGAAACACTACAATCAACAGCAGCCCCTCCCTGTACAGTTGCGGACATGCGAGTACTTGAAGCGGTAGATGTGCCTGTCGTGTTTGACTATTCACAAGATCCAGTGAGAAATTTGAGAATGCAAACCAAAATCGTTGGGATTGTTGCGGAGGCGTTGACCCGAAGTGACAGAATCACCCTCCAACTTCCTCTCTTGGTATAACATTGCGGACCGCCCAAAATATTCATTTGAATCATGTACATTACGTTGATCTTCCTCCGTGTCAAATCTACCGAATGAACTCCAGCTTTCTGAGCCGGCATGTAAAGGCATCGCCACCACTGGGCCACAACGCTGACTTAAGATCACTCATCCCAGCGGTCAACTCTCAACTCGTCAGATTGCAGAGTAAACGCCACGATCATTCTACGAACCACAAACGGCTCTCCTACTTACTGCGTAAAGAAAGCTTTTCAGTGTCATAAGACAAGCTAGACCAGACCAACCAAACACCACCACGTTCCTCCGAGCCGAGCCCATCCCCCAAAGCTACCTCCGGCGTGTCTCACACATCCCGTCATACGAGACGCAAAAAAACAAGCTTGTTCAACGGGAACGGCAAACAAGCTTCTTCTCTACATCTTTCCCCGCCCTTAGCTCTCCCTGCCCTTGCGACTCCGCACGCGGTCTTGCGAGAGATTTTGGAGTTGTGAGACAAGTCCCCTGTTGTGGAGTATGGAAGACCCTAGGTGAACGAACGCCTTTCTTGACAAGTCGATCGTCGTCTAATCGTCGGACTCGAGTCGGTCTTCTGTTCGATATGCCTTTGCTTGTGGCCTGCGAGCCATCTGATCTTTTCATTGTCAATCAAGTTCTGCGCTTGACTAGCCAGGATTCCACTTTGAGAGCGGTCTGGACAATGATTATACTGATAGTTAACATGATATTACTTTTTGACTATGTTCGTATTCGTGTAGATAATTGCCCTTGAGTTAACCCAACGCCTTGCGATGCAATGGTATCATCAATCTCCTAATGCTCACCCCCGGTGCCCCAGTACCTGTGCTGGAGTTTCCAAATTGAGAAAACAAAATAAAAAAATACCAAAGTCAAGTCTCTCAGCTCAACTTGTGTTTGCGTGTGTGCTTCAGCATCCCAATCGATGGTCTGAGAACGTCTTCCCATTCGCGCCGTAAATAGTTGTCGTCGTTCTCACATGAATCCCAGACTCAATAGAGCTCCTCCTCGTCACCGACTCCCCATCATGGTACCGGATCTGCGTCCTGACCTCGCCCCGCACCTTGTCGCCCAACTCCAGCTCGCTCTCGTTCGGCTCCACAGTCGTCGAGCGGAACGAGAAGAACTTCCTCCTCCTCTCCGCCATCCTCCTCGCGGCCCTCGCTTCGCTCGCAGCAAACTTCGCGTCGGCAATCTCTTCGTCTCCATCATTCACTGCGTTGTCGTCGCCGTCGCCGTCGCCGTCGCCATCTTCTGCCGACTTGATGGCGTATGCCATCCGGGATGAGGCGTTGGAAGCCTTCTTCGGCGCCGAGTTGGCATCCGCCGTGCCAATTGTGCTAAACATCTTGGGCCAGCCGCGCTTCAGTAGTATCCGGAGGGCGGGGAGGCAGACGACGATCATGGACACGGACGCCTCGAGACCGGACCAGATGAGGGGGTCCGTGAAGTCCCACGTCGGGTTGAGCGACCGCGTGAATGAGACGATGTACCGAAGGCGGATGCATGAGGTGATGAGGACAAAGATACCGAGACTGAACATGAATAAGATGCCTATCTTGGAGCGTTTCGAAGTGTTGAGGTGCCACAGGAGCGGAAGGGGCAAAGCGAGAATGATGAGGTCGTGGCTGATGCTCAGCCCGCCAGCCACAAAGGCTAGTGCGTTGATGTCCAGGCAGTGGTGCGGACCGAAATCTCCTTTCCAACCAAGCCAGTTGTAATCAAGGGGGATACACTGGAAAATCTGCATGAATAAAACCACCGTGGTCGATATTAAGATGTATGTCATGGTCGCGTACGTTGCCCATCGGAAGGACTTGTTCGGGAAGATTCTGAGGTAGAAGAAGAGTACTGAGATCTTGGTGAGGCCTAGGCAGGCGAGGTAGAAACTTTCGTCGATGAAGAAGAGCTGCCACAGTCAGCATCTGGTAGATTTTTCGTAGGCGACGATTTGTCTAACCTTTAATCCCAACGTGAGTTCATCTGGTTCGACCATCCAGATATCTTCTCCAAAGGCAACATGGCCGGCTGGGTGGTCGTTAGTAAAGACCATGGGATCCGAAAGATGCTAGACTTACCAAGTTGTCCAACGACGACGAACACGACAAACATGGCCTATATTCCGTTAGAATATGAGCTTTCAAGATTCCCTCAGAGATCCAACGTACGCCGCAGAACATCATGATCCAGTCGTCGGCCTCGAATCGATGCATCGTCGTCCATCTCGCGTATAATCGTAACGGGACCACCAGTATCCCGGTTATCTGGAGGATGAGTGGCACCATGATGTCCACCTTTCGCTCACGAACCGGGCGTTTGCATGCTTCAGCTTCTATCCTTGCAACGTCTGAATGACTGTCAGTTCACCCATTGCAGCTGCGGTTGTTGGGCGAGGAAGCCGTACCTATGGCCTCTAGTTTCTTGCACCGCTGGACGAGACATGTTTGCACGCTCAACCGCAGGTCATGATCACTGCAGATGCAAGTATCGTTTGTAGCAACCTTACAAGCCGATAGTGGTAACTTTTCGAGTGTACATTCCAGCTAAACGATGGGAATGATGTCAGTCAGGTCTCATAGATCTAAGAGATGGAAAGGAAAACCAACCCCACATTGGGGCAGCATAGCTGCGAACTCCAATAAGGAACCTTGAACTGCACCAAAGAAGGCGACCGCGACGCCGAGCAGTAATGATTGCCTCATGGCGAATGATGCTGATGATGATAATGATGTCTGAGAAGGCGGTAGAGAAAGGAAAGACGGGAAGGGGCAGAGAAGGGCTCGCCGTGACTAGGACGAATCTGCCTCAAATGTTTTGACGGACAACCACAGACGTTTGTCATGTCATCCAGGATTGATCGGGGTGACGGCCAACGTGGGAAGGACATCTGCGATATAAGACAGTGTGTGGGCTGCCGTCCGAGCAGGCACCGCTTCTTCAGGGGAACCATACGGGAAAAGCCAATGACAAGGGCAAACTCTAAGGTAGGTTGGGCACATCCGGTCCTAGTGTGTTGAGTAGCTCGGTGCCTATCAACTCTTAGTGAGCAAGCCCCTCTAGGTATACTAAAACAGTCCGGCCGGGGGGGAAGAGGGTACGGGTAATGGGCTCGAGAGTCAACAACAACATCCTACATACCTACCTCACTTGCTTACTTGCTCACCTACTTGGCCCTGCGGAGCCGTTCACCAACAACGCGGTCTGCGAAATCTCCAACACCCTTACCCGGATGAAGCCTTAACACGCGCATGGAAGAACTGGAAGTGGATGCCGCTTGTCATGGATCAGGGGTCTCTTCCCGTCGAACTCTCAGGAGCAACTTAGCAAGTCCGTGATACCTTGTTGCGCGTGTGTGGCTGGTCAACGGGCCCAGTCTGTGGCTGCGGGGCCAAGGATCGATGGGACAGACAATCGAACCTCGTGGCAGTGGATCCTCCGTCCATGCGTCTGGTCACTGGTGACTTGCGTGAGGTGGTGAGGTTGTTCTGAGCGGCGACGGATTCGTGCATGTCCAGTAGCACCGGAGGTCACAGTAAGTGCTCCAGAGTCCAGTTCCTCTTGGAACTCATGGGTTTCCATCCATCGCCCACTATCATCTTGCCGCGAAGGAGCAGGAACAGGAAATATGCTGCAAAGATGAAAAGCCAGCCGGTGGGATAAGATTACCGCCCATCTGCCTTTGAGAAACACTTCAGAAAGCCACTGTGCCCGCCCGCCGACCTGAAGAGAGAACCAAGTCATTGTGCTCTGTGACTGGACTGATTCGTGTTTGCCTTTTCGCATGGCAGGCTTGCCGAGTTTCATCGGATTTGCGCAGAGAAACTTGAGCACAACACGGACAACTCCATGAACCAAGAGGAGAGAAACGCGATTTACCAAATCTTGGCACCAATATCCACACGCCCAACCTGCGGAAAGCTCCTTGCCCTTCTTTGTGCTATGCCTCCCGTCCACCGCAAGGAACAAAGGGAAGAACAATCGCGGCACTTGACACCGGACGTACCATTGAGTAGATGGGTCCGTGCCTTTGGGGATCGTGTATGTAATCGAAATGCAGCGTCGATCCATGCAGGGACACAAGTGTCTCGGCCAAAGGAGATCCCAGGGCCAAGCCAGGCAGACTGGGCATCGGCCACCAATTCTTAGACTTCAGATGCGTCTAGCACAGGAAGACTCAGAGACCAGTGCAAACGCCGGACCAAGCTGCTGGCTAGCGAGAAATTGGGACGCGGCGTCGACATCTGATCAAGCATCGCGCAGTTCTCGGGATGCCCAAGCGGTACCCGCAATGTTGACACATTGGGTGACTGTTTCCCCCTCTTGAGTCCAACGGGAGGCTTTTGTTACACGATGGCAAGCTGGATACGAAACAGTAGTACAGAGACGGCTTCCAGCGTGCCAAAAGTGCCCGTAGGCATGTCAAATAGGAGTACGCCATTGTAGGTAACGCTTCTTCCGTGTTTCGGTTGTTCCGACGGGGGAATTGTCTCTTGATGAGGGGGAAATGTCTCTTCCAGAATTATGTCGCTATCCATGCTCGCGACTACATGCATGCCTCTCCGCCCACGGAGGGGAAAACTCATCGCACCGGTCTCATCCGTCGCAGGGAAAATCTCTAGTCGGCACTTGTTGTAGCATACGGTTGCAATCTGGAGTGCGACCTTGAGGGTTCCAGTGGTGACGTCGAAGAATGCTTCAAGAGCGGGGGGTTCGGGCGTATCTGGCGGTGGCTCAATGGCAGCCACCGGGCGCAGAATCGGCCTTGAAGAATATTTGCAAATCATTTCGTGCGTAAAACTGGCACATTCATTCCATAGACATTCCACGACGGATCAAGGACTAGATTCCCTCGTGTTGTTAGGGAGGCGCCGCTCCCCCATCTCCTGGCGCTAATACGCAAGCGCGACGACGGCTCTAGCTGGAGACACTAACCTGACATCGTGCTCTGCAGTCTCATCATTGACGGCTCAATGAGTGGCTGGCGTGGAACTTTGTTGGCACCGGCCGGCGAGTCGGCGCAGTTGGGCAGACTGAATGAGTTTGGGGCAAGTGAGTAGGCACGATTGAAAAGCACGTCAACACAGATATTTCACGACTGTAGTCTCGACCTCGGCCTGCGTCTAGAAGAACTACCACGACTCAAATTCAATCCCTAGACGGAGAATCTATTTAAATCAGGATATTTTTGACGCTTTACAATCTTGAGTCATGGTAAGACACGGGAGCATAGAGTCTGCTCTGGTGCAGCTCCAGTGCCGAATGAACTCCCACTTCTCGTTGTTCTATGACCATTTGTGCATCGATCGTCTCAAGGCCGTGACAAACTCATGAGACGGGTGATGCTGCGGGTAGTGTGCACCTCCCGTCGGCTGAAATTGTTGCGGATCGACCAAGCCTTAGTGCATCTCGAGATGGACCGAGGAATCATGATCCCCTCGTTGCCAGACGTTACGTATCTTCCGGAGGCCCGTTAGTTCACACTGCTTGCTGACGGGCCTGTTGAACCGACTTCTCAGCAGGTACAGAATACAACGAGTCGCCTCCTTCTCGCGTTCCAGGCAAGACCACAACCCAGATCGATCCAGACCGATAGCAAGATTGTATAGATTGATTGCGTGACTACATACGCCTGCCATCCTTTCGTTTTGGTGACGAAGCTTGCTGCTCAAATACCGCGAGGCGCGAGCTTACAACAGACCGCGACGCCGTAGGCGACAGCCTGGCTATACATTATGGGCAAAATGGGATCGCCGAAAAGTAGGACTGCGGCGGAAGCTGTCAAGGTGTCGCAAACAACCACATTCCCAAGCCTCAAAGATATCTCAAGCTTACCGTCGGCCAACCAGCCTCCGACAGCCCGTGGCGCAACCGGACGGGCATTTTCAAACTCTGATCCATCGTCAATCGAAATCTGCTTCCCCATCATCGTCCCGCGGCTCGGCCTGGGACACCAGAGCGCCGACTTCCTCAGCTGAGCTTCTTTGACAAGTACCACATGCGTCAAGTGCATCTCAGACATCGACCTCATTGATTCATCGGTGTCGGCTCCCACACTTTATGCTCAACTCCCATCCTGTGGCTTGCTCTAAGATAGCCATCCGCTGTCCGTCTGGGGTATCCCGCGCAGCGATTCTTTGTTGGCCCTCGGGAGATCGTCTAGTAATTTTCATGCCGAGCCGGGAACGTCTGTCATTATCAGATGGTCTAGTAGCTCAAATCGCAGGGCACATCGAGTGCTTATGATCGAAATGGCACCGAGTTGTATCAATGTGGATCGATATATTGTTTTCACACAACCTCGATCGAGTTGATAGGGCTCGTGGGAGTTGGAGATGCCGACTAAGGCGAAGAAGATGGTAGACTTGGACTGCTTTTCATCAGGCAAGACGTCCCAACCTTTCGTGCGTCCCAGCTGATCTTGCGGCCGTTACTTGGACGATCCCATATGCGAGCTCGTGGGGTGACCTTCGGCAGGGCATCCGGCCAACGCTACTGGACGGCTTGCGGGATGTACTGAGGTTGGAAATTGGCGTCATAAAGAGTACCATTCCCGTCGTATGGAGTCGGCTGGTTGTGGAAGACCCATTGTAGACGAGTACGCTCCAGAATTGGAAGTCCACTGGACCCGTTGAGAGCAAGATTCGGGGGTGGATAGGGTCGGAACTTGCTCGCATCCCCATTCAGCGGTCCAAAATACGATTCCGAGTTGTTCACCGAGGCCATATTGGGTGGATCTTTGTTCGGGACAAGCACTCTGCTACCGAGGTCTTGCACGAACTGGTAGATGTTGGCCCCAACATCATACCGGCCTAGGTTTGGCGTCTCCCAGTTGAACTGAACTGTCGACAACATTGAGTAATGCGTATAAAAGGTCTTGTCTTCCGTCCCCTTTCTGTCCTCGGGGAGCGCGCTGCCCAAAAGTAGTGACGCAATCTTGTTTGGTTTCCCGTAATCTTCAGACTCGTCGTAGGTAAGTTGAATGAGCGTACGCTCTTTGAAGGCGCCAGGGACTAGCATCGGCTTTAGGAAATCCTGTGCCCACTTTGTCGCATACTCTAGAGACGTATTGTGGCCGTCGTTCATTTGGTTGGGAGACATGAATACCCATTGGGGCACCTTTTTCTTCTCGAAGTCCGTCTTGAAGTCGTCAAACCCTTCGATATTGAGCAGGCGGGATCCGTTCAGGTTGATGGAGTCAAATGACACAAAGGGGCTGATAGAATATTAGCATCGGCGGATCCGGCAGGACCCTGGGCAAACCAACTTGTGTTTCCGTACATAGTCCCACTTCCCATCACCTGTTTGGCCGTCGCTGGCAGCCGCCAAGTAGCCTGGGCCGGGGATGTCTTCCATGTACGCTTTCCATGACAGACCCCTCCAGTCGAGAAGATCCACGATGGTCGATATGTTTAACGGGAGTCGGACCGGTTCGTCATGGTTCAGGCCAAAGTAGTCTCCAGCGAGTGCTGCAATATAGTTGGCCTGGCTGGGGTGGGTATGCGCGTAGTAATTGGTGAGCAAAATCCCGTCCTTCTTGAGATCAGCGATGTGGGAATCTTTAACGACTTTGGCAAAATCCTGTTGGGCAATCAACGTTAGCGAATGGAGTCTGCCATCAAGGGATGTGGGCATACGTGCTTGATTTTCCAGCCAGATGGAAATAAACCGATCGAAGCCCCTGCCGGGGATGTGAAAGGCTCCGACGATCGCCAGCAATCCGGTCAGAGAAAAGAAAGAAAGAAGCATCGTACAAAGTCCGTTAAACACCACTACGGCATCGCATTTGTGAATCAGCAACCTCGAAGAACAGAATGTTAATAATCGGGTGGTTTATTTTGTCAAAAAGTCACGACCCTTGGTGACGAGAAACAAAACAACCAAACTATCGCCACGGGCTCGCATCCGCCCCGGTTCACGTCTCAGCGTGCTACAATACACCGGGGCCATGGCGGCTGTGTGTCGCGCAGTCAAGCAAGCATTCCGTGCAGTGTTTGACGTCGATCTCCTTGAAACGCTTGAACGCCTCCATGTGGCACATTAGCTCAACGTCGGCCCATGCACCGATCTCGGAGCGATGATCCGTGGTGACAGGGATGTCTTGATCTGATAAAAATTCTGGTGGGTTGAAGAAAATCGCCGCGAGGATTGAAGGTTGCGGTTGCGTAGCCGCTGCGTGGACGATCGCGCGATGTAGTGCAGAGTCCGCAGGTCTGCAAAAGCTTTCTGGGCCTTTTGGTATGGGGTGTCCGTTCGTGTCGACTGGAGCGGATGGGGTCCCCAATCTGCAAGGGAACGTGAGTGGCCTCAACTCGCTGCAGCTGGAAAGATTTTTCTCCACAAGTGTTCAACGACTGGCCCGCATGGCTGGGCCCCGGTCCCATGTCTTGATCAGGAAGAATCCTCCAAACTCGAGAGTCGGGGACATTCACGAGACTGGATGGAGGTGTTCGGGATTCGGGGCCCGACAACAACGTTGTCCGCTGAAGCTGGGGAATCCATTGATTGACATTTTCCCCGTTGAGATGTGTCGTTGCCAGCAACTTCCATGCTTGTCAAGTTGTCATGTTTGACAAGTTTAGTGTTTTGTGACCTGTCGATCTAGTTCGTCGTTTCCCGCCGCTCTCCTCTGCAGCGCGGCCTCGTCTGGAGTCTCCAGTTCATGCAGGGTGAATATGCCTCGCTGTGTTGCAGTGAAGAACGTACCGTAGACAACCTTGAACCGGATATTTTGACCTGGTGAAAGAGGTTGGCGCCAAGGCATTCCCGAGGAATTGAATGACAAAAAAGATCCATTGATGGAGATGGCCCATCACGAAGACCGGGTTCGTCGGCAGGACTAGTGGCAGTCGGTGTGGCACAGCCCTGACTTCTGCATGGTCCGCCAGTACGGATAGAGCAGGTATTCCTGGAAACGTTCTGACGACATTAGAGGCATTTTTTTTGGGAGGATGCAACGGTGACTCGCGTGGCATTAACGGCCCCCTTTTACCGCTTAATGGCGTGTGTCACGAGACCTCGTTTGTCAAGTACAGATTGACTTTGCTCAGCCTAACCAAGCCGCATACTTGTCGCGCATTCTGCTTCTTTGCATATGCGTCATGCCAATCTCTCGCCGTGGTCTGCAGTATACTTGTGAAGCCAGAGCCAGCAGGTGGATAGGGGCGGTCGGTGTAATTCTCGTGATCGTGGACCGCCGTGAACATCTGCGTGGATGATCGAAGATGGAGGGCTTGTCATTTTAGGTAAAAAATGGTGGGAACAACGCGTCTTGCGTCGGCTCATCCCCATGTTCGGTCGGCTTGTGGGTTGCAGCTGTGGTGGGTGCTAGTGAACAGAATTTTTATCTGATCTTAATCCCTGCAGTGTGAGTCAAGAATGGGGACCTTTGAGAGGGGAAGGGCCGATCTAATCTTATCAGATGCCCCACATCTGACTGCCATAAAGGTGGATATCATTGCTCGGAGGGGTTCGGTTATACCACCTCGGTGCTCGGGATAGTCGGTCTTATGTAAGCTTTTTCGACAACGCTTAACATACTCCTACCTAATCCACATACAAGTGCTGTTAAGGTACTGACGACGCTCGCTCGGCGGTAGCTCACGCTGACTGACAGGGGGAAGTTTCTTCCCTTGGATTTCGAGTACATCTTGACAGCAAGCGGCAGGTGAAATGTGCCCACTCCGGACCGGAGGCTGATCCATTTGTCACTCGGTACTGATTGATATAACCGTGGTCGTGGCCTGTGTCTTGCGCGCGGTACATTTTCCCTTCGCTTTTGATCATTTTCGCCTCCCGCGCTACAAGATCGAGCCGCATCACCACCATGAATTCCGCCAACGATACAATGTCTCCCTCAGTGGATGACGGTGGGAGTCTTTCTCCCGCCAACTCACGCGAAGACGATGAGAACTCACAGCACCCCCGCAAGCGCCAACGCGTGCGTCTTAGCTGTCTGGAGTGCCGCCGGAGGAAGCTGTCCTGCGATAGAGGCTACCCGTGCCAGCGGTGCCTGAAGAGCGGCACACCGGATCGCTGCACGTACGAGACCAAGTCAGGTGCTGTATTGAACGCCAGCTCTGGCGTTCCGCCTGCCTTTGCACAGCTCGACTCACGGAGGAATGGCGAGCTGGCTGTTCCAGGCAAGGAAGCCGATGTTTCTCTTATCCGCGAGGCGGCCAAGGATCACGACCGTATCCGCCGTCTCGAGCTCGAAGTCGCTCAGCTCAAGACTCAACTCACACGACAGGCTATGTCTTCATTTGACGGAAGCACAATAGCCGGAACCAACTCACCACTCACTCAAAAGGATGAGACTAATGAAGCGCCTGCCGATCCTTGCGCAAACAACTCAGAGATTCAGTCATGCTGGCATCAGTATGGCGATGGGGACAAGTCAGAGCTCCGCTTTTTCAGGGGCAAGGAATTCAGAACGCGGTATTTTGGTCCTCACAACGCCACAATGGCTTTCATCGAGGTAGGTCTCTCACGCTCATATGAGCTCTTTTTCGTCTTCATGAAGAATTCTCATCTGACTGCCTTACAGTTGACTGGTCTGTGCCCCTTCATGAAGGAGACGGCAGATGAGTGGCTGAAGCCCGTGAAGGCTCATGACCGCAAGGACCGCAAGAAGCGCAAGGATGACAGAGACAAGTTCTACCTTCAGCCTGATTCCACGCTCGAAGCTCTCCTGCCACCAAAGGAGCACTGCGATGCTTTACTCGAGGTCTACATTGACCAGTTCGAGCAAATGCACCGCATCATTCACATTCCCACCTTCCGCAGAGAATACTCAGAGTTCTGGGAGAACCCAACCGAATCTCGCTATGCAGCACTCACCGCTCTTGTCCTTTCCATCTGCGCGGTAGCAAACTGCATCCACACTCACGAGTCTCTGAGATTCACCGGAATGATTTCCAACGCCCAAAATGCCGCTGAAAAGTGGATCAAGGCCGTTGAAAATTGGCAAGATCATCAGAGTGTGAAGCACCGAAAGCTCATCCACTACCAAATTGCATGCCTCCTGTATCTCGCCAAGCGGGTCAACACCGTCAAGAAGAAGCGCTTCTGGACGAACTCTGGCGCTCTCATTCAGGACGGCATCTCTGTCGGACTGCACCGGGAACCCGGCCACATGGGGTCCGGCAAGATTTCAGTCTACAACCAGGAGATGAGACGGAGGATCTGGGCGACGGTGCAAGAATTTGACATGCAAGCCTCTTTCGACCACGGACTGCCTACGCTGGTGAGCCAGCTGCATTACGATGTGCAGCCACCAAGAAACTTGGACGACGAGGACTTTGACGAAGACACGACGCAGCTCCCGCCTTCCAAGCACGGCAAGGAGTACACTTTCTCCTCCTACCAGAACCTGGCCCGCCAGAGTCTGCCGCTGCGCATGGAGTTGAGCCGCCTTCTTTGTGGCCCGCCGGGAGACCTCGACTATGACCAAGTCATCCGTTACACCAACGACATCACTCACGAAATCGACTCGCTTCCATCCTGGGAGCACAACAACAACAACACACACGGCGGCAAGAGACCACTTCTCGCCTACACTCTGCTCCACATCCAACTCCGTCAATACATCGTTCCCCTCCACCAACCGTTCCTCAAACTTCGCAAATCCAACGCCAAGTACCAGTACTCCGAGATCATCTACTACAACGCCGCGCGAGACATTGTTCTCCTGCACGACAAGCTCTACGAGCAAGGCATTCGCAGCCTCAACTTCCTCCGCGAGGACGCGCTGACCACAGCCGTCAACCTCTGCAGCGTCACGATGCTGCAGCCGCGCGGCTCGACAAACATGATCATGATCAACTCGCAACACACCGTCAAACTCCTTGAAAAGTGCCTGCACATGAAGGAAGACAGGATCCTCCGCTGCGGCAATAACGAGCCCTGGGGCTACTCCATCATGTGCTCAGCACTCGGCCTTCTCGAAGCCCACCTGGGCACAAAGACCACCGAACAAGCAAAGGCATCGTCTGCGGAACGGTTCGTCAACCTGCACTACAAGCTGCTGGCGAACCAGGAACCCCCGGTATCGAGTCAGCCATCAGAGCTGTCCAAGATTCCCGGATTGGAGGTTCCCGAGAGACCAAAGGTAAGCAATCCCGCCCATCCGTTGTTGTCGTTGTCGTCGTTCAGACCCGAACAGTGGCTGACTCGTTCCTCTCAGTCGGTTACGCCCTTCTCTTTCCAGGGCTACCCGTCTTCGCAGAACGCGATGGACGGGCTCCTGCCTCAACCCCTGCCGTGGATGCCACCATCCATTGATCCGCAGGTGAGTCTTCACGACTTCTCCCCAGCACTCCCAGCCCTCGTCGCTGACAGTGTGTTGGCAAAGGCGCAATCATACAATCCCGACTTTAATCTTGAAGCACTGGGATTGAATTTGAACGAGTTGTGGGGAGAATCGTGGGACTTTAGCTGATGCATGCGATGTTTGTGATGCCATTTTGATGTGCTTCTTGGTTACTCAAAAAGAAAAGCGAGCTCGGGCGGGTTGTTTGATCTGGGCAAATTGCCCTTGACCTGTATTTTGGAGGCGATGATTTGTCACGGACAGTTGTTACGATGTTCGGAAAGCTTTGTGATACCCATCTCAATTCCTCTCTCTCTCTCTCTTTTTAATCTAGACGTGTAATATACATACAATCATGTCGGTCTTGACTCACGATTTGAACACGAGGTCTTTCAATGTTTTTCGGTGAGCTGTTGTCCTTCTCATTTCGTCTTGGCTCGACATACCCTCTTCCTCCAGATGGTCCATCCGGGTTAGCAGAGACACTTTTTGCTACCGCAATCTCGCCTCACCCAAGCTTCATCCCCTCATTGAAGCCCACCGGAAGCGCCCCGAAAACCCGCCGTGTCGGTAGGGCCCGAGGACTATGACTCGAGCAGATTAGAATATTGGGCGACACGACGCCTGGACCACATCTAATAAGTCACCGGACCAGGACCAACTCATCTTCTCAGCAAAAGACCCTATGGTCCCCTCCAAATCCCCGATAACTTCCAGTCGTCTTCAATTGCCATGTGGAACTCCAAAGCTTGTCCGAGGCTTAAAAGAGAAAAGACATCCTAAATTCCCAATCGACCCGCCATTGCGACTCCACCTATACGATCTGTCGACATATATCCCTCGCTGCCACGAGTCGTTGTCCAACAAACCTCGTCGGGTACGGCGAGTTCCCAGCGTCTGTCGAAACCGTTGTAAAACGGTCAATCACTCAGCGCGGCACTACGACTCGCTGAGTCGCCAAAGGCAAACCCAGTTTCTCTCTGTTCTGACCTGCTGAGATCACCGCACAAGTGGCGAAATCTTTCCCCGCAAGGCGCATAACGTTACCCGCGTATTGCGGCTGAGCAGGCGGGCTGGGTTTAAGCGATGTTCATGCCATTCGTCAATTGTCGTCATTCTCGATATGCGAAGTCATCGATATTGTCATCAATAAATCTTCAACTGTTCTCGATCCATCCTACTCGGCCGAGCCAAGTAATGAGTTCCCCTCAGTCGGAAGAAACGTGGACTCATTTTACTCCACAACTCTCAACTCAATATCATTATCGGCGTGGATTTTCCGGTCACCGCCAAAGCGTTGTCCCCAAAAAACCCCCCAAGAAGCATTGATGGCACTTGACGTCTCGAGCGGGGGTGGAAAAGTGACTGGAGGGGATTATCGAGGTTACATGGTCTCCCACTGGCGGCGGACAAGATGCCAGATCCAGGAACCATGACAGGGATCAGCTCGGCACCTTCAAGTGTGACCCTGTAACGCTACAGGACCACCCCTCCCCTGTTTCTTCAGTTTCCCTCCAACCACCTTCTCCTTTGCGGCCCCCAACGGGCAGCTGGCCGTAGTGGTTCCCTAACTCCACGACATCGACCGTTTGTCTCTTCCAAGGGTCCTGTTATACGCAGTAGAGAACGGTAGAACCTGAAGCTGTGAGGGGGCTCGGGCTACTAGCACCGGCACGCGGCATTTGTCCCTTGTCCTTACAGACCTCACATGGCCCAATTGCGTCGCAATGCCATGCCACGGGCGGGGTCAAGAGGCCGTAGACAAGCTCAGATGCTCGAATGATTTACCATCTAGCATCTAGAAGGGGGGCACCGTAGCCTCGGAGATGATGAGCTTTGTGGGATATTGGCTCCTTCGCCCTGGTACTGTGGCCCCTTGCTGACACCTTCTTTCTTGCCCGCGTGGATGAATGGCTTGTCGTGAGAGGACCAAGAAGACACGAGAGTTGTCCGTCCGGGGGAACCTATAAGATGCAAGACGACGCTGATCGGACGCAGGAACAAGGCCTGGTCTATCACAACATCCAAGTTTTGCCAGTCTCCTTCTCCCCTTGGCCGAGTCAGATTCCCCACGTCACAGCCGTCATCTGCAGTCGTGACAGTTTCAGACATCGGATACACATATTTAGAGACGATCTCCCGGTTCATCTGAGAGGCACTTATCTAGTACCTCTTCACCTCACATCTCTCTCGCCACCTCTTCACATCTAATCACACCTCCCGTTCACAATGGCGCCTTCCCTCTTCCGTCTTGCTGCGTGGCTCGCTGCCGCTGCCGGCTCCGTCACCGCCGCTCCCCTCGAGCGCCGCGCCGTCATCGCCCATGATGCCGTTGTTGGCTTCCCCGAGACCGTCCCCTCAGGCACCGTTGGCACCTTGTATCTCAAGTACAAGCCCTACCTGAAGGTCTTCAACGGTTGCGTGCCCTTCCCTGCCGTGAACGCTGCAGGTGATACTGGGTAAGCTCATCTCACTCACTTGAGAAACATCTCACTTTGTTCTCTTCTCTAACCCCCAATCCACAGCGGCGGCCTCGCCACATCCGGCTCTTCAAACGGGGGATGCTCCTCCAGCACCGGCCAAGTCTACGCCCGCGGCGCCTCCTACAACGGCGCATATGCCATCATGTACTCCTACTACATGCCCAAGGACTCGCCCTCCTCCGGCCTGGGCCACCGCCACGACTGGGAGAACGCCGTCGTCTGGCTATCCGCCGCATCGACCTCGGCCACCGTCCTCGGCGTCGCCGTCTCCGCGCACGGCGAGTACGACACCAAGACATCGGGCATCGACTACACCGGCACCAGCCCCCGCATCGGCTACCAGAGTGTCTGGCCCGTCAACCACCAGATGATCTTCACCAGCGACGTCGGCGGCCAGCAGCCCCTCATCGCGTGGGAGTCCTTGACCGACGCCGCGCGCACCGCGCTCACGAACACCGACTTTGGCAGCGCCAATGTGCCCATGAAGGATGCCAACTTCAACACCAACCTCGGCAAGGCTGTCTTATAAGAGGGGTTTTTCGCACGACTTTCCACGCATTTGTGAAGAGCTCCGGGAGAAGTTGACTGGGAATGATGATTATTATTTAATTGTGAGGCTAGCCACTTAGCTGGCCTCGTGGATGACTTCATGCAAATATCTTAGTCTTACTGAGGAGCGAGGGCTTTTGAAGCTCTCTGATGATGGCTCCGTAATACATAAACCTTTTGTAAACTTTTCTTTCTTTGAGCGTATTCGCAATGCATGTGATGAACAACTGCGATAACACAGCCAGTCCATTAGATACGGCGGCTTCGGCTACCGGCGACCTCCACATAAGAGAAACTAATAATCATCGTCGTCGTTCAAGCAACTCGCCGAAAGAGGAAGCTGAAGCAACCCGTCAAAGTCCTTCGTTTCAGCATTTTGCCATTGCGAAGTTAGAGGTTGTCGGTTCGGGCATTCAACGGGCAATCCCGCCAACCAGCAAAAGCATAATTGACAAGCCGCCCAAGTGCCAGGCCAGGATGGTCGCTGCTGACAGTGCATGGCGACCGAGGCTTGGAATTTTGGAGTCGCTTGGAGATCGTGCCAGGGCACTTTTCTTGCCGCCTGCCGAAGAGGGTAATCGAGCTCCGATGCGGGCAACTCAAATCGCTGGAGCCCAAACCGCACATCACAATCAAGTCAATCAACCGACGGCGGATTAAGCGCTTGTGATACTAATCGAAATCGAGATGGGTTGCCGATCACCCGCTATCACAAGTTGTTCAGGCTGAAGTTTGGCTCTGGAAATGCCATTCGGGTCGAAATGGCCTGGACACACATACACGGTGGCTGGTTCGCAAAGAGCTTTGGCAACTCCCCGTGTCTCCGACGAACCTGTGGAGATGACGGATATGTCGGCAGCATGCCTTGTCAATTCAACCTACAAGCAGTCAGCCCACTTTGTGAGTCTCCGTTTGTTGAAGAATATCCGTTCGTCGTCCTCGACGTCGAGTTGTTGCGCCCACGTGGTGGTTAAGGTTGTGGCCGAACTGGGGCGTTCTGTGGCTCAGGTGGAGCTGGGCCCCGCACACGGGCAGCACTCCGATTCCGAGGCCGCAAGCTGCGCCTTCTGCACGATTCATATGCGGCATTTTTGCTCGGACTTCCAACAACCAGCATCTGGCCCTCTGGCGCAACGGTAGCGCGTTCGACTCCAGATCGAAACATCTCGAGATGCCATCGAAAGGTTATCCGTTCAAATCGGGTGGGGGTCATTTCTTTTGCTTTTATGACATCTACCACATCAAATTTTTTTGTTTTGGGTTGTTGGAGTTTTAAATGAGTTAGTTGTTTTGGCTATTCTGAAGTCGGATATGAGCTTTTGTTGGGCACGGACCAAGCAAACCTTGTTGTCAGGCTCATCAGACTTCCCCACGGTGGTAAAGCTCCCATCCAGCTTAATCCATCAGTGATTCACTGGGAAGCATTGTAACGGGGGGCTCGGGGAAGGCATGATATGAACGCAAGTTTAATCTCTGTTGTCTCCTCGACTATTCTTGTTCAGTTGACGAAGAATCTACCTAATTGCGAGCATTATCACCAAGTACCTACCCCAAGGCCAAATACTCATAGCATGGAAGACATGCCACATTCCCCTAAGCAGTTTGTCCCAGAATTGAGCTTGACAAGTATCTCTGCCAAGTATCATTGGATTATCCATTAAACATATCCGTACTTCTCGTCCTCCATCGGTCTCACAACTCGTTCATACACCTCTTGCCGGAAGTCCTGATCAGTCAAGTCCAGGTGTTCTCGATTGAACTCTTTCTCGATGCAGCATCTAACCGCGTTGGCATAACTTGAACTTCCCAGCTCGTGACGCAGCACTCGATACGCCGTCAGTCTATCGCACATCAGCCGTGAGTCGCCGAGCATTGCCTTTTTCGTCGTCATTGCGCTTCGACTCCATGGTTCTTCCGCAACCGAGCTCCTCGCGAGTAGAATACCGAGTGAGACCAACGCTTCATTGCGACAACCGAGTGAGGGCGTCATTTGTTCCACTAATCTTCCGTCCATTTCGGGTAGGGTAGCCATGACAAAAGTGTCGCTGTAACGAAGTAAAGAGTCCTTCCTCAAAAACAAGATATCGCGACTTGTGACTATATCAGAGTCCAGAGCAGCCTGGAGGAAGTCATTACCCGCTGGTCTGTCGGTAACGACTGAGCCTTGAGCCATTTTGAGTTGATGGTAGCGGATAACAATCTCTTCCCACATAGACCCTTGATGGAACCCGGCAGCCTGGTCAGCTATGCCGAAATTCATGGACATAGTAACCTCAATCTCCCGTAGGATCTCGTCACTACGGCGAGCTATTTTCCCAAGTGCCTGCGGCATAACTTGCAGATATATTTCATGCGAGCAACTGCCTGGGAAACTGGACAGTAGCGCTCGGTGTACTCTTCCTGCCAGTTCGTGAACTAGCTGCATGGTTCTGCCTCACGTTCGTGATGCTCTTCTGGGACCATTTCGATGCTTCGATCGACCAGCGACTCAATATCGGTAATATTGTCCTCTATGATTACCATTGATCCCGTATACGTTGACTTTCCGATAACGAACATGACGTATTTCAGCGCTGTAGCCAAAGGTACGCTGTTCGATGGAATATGCTGGGTGAGAGTGAGCACGTGAATCCCCTTGAAACATAAGACTTGTCCCTACCTCGTCATTCAGCGGCAGATCGATCGACTTTGATATGTCTTCGATGGCCAATTTGATCTCTCCGACCTTTTCTAGTAGGATCTGATAAGACTTCAGGTTCAACAGTCTGTCTTCAATCATCTTGCGAACGGAATCCTCGTGCCACGAAAGACCAAATGGGTCATTAACCATGTGATCGACCCTAGAATCCGGGACAATGCCAGTCGGAAGCTTCTCCCTCACATCTTGAAGCCTGATTCTTTCATTCTCGAGGTCGGTGATTAGGCTTTTGAGTTCTCTGTCATACCTACGTCAAATTCGTATCGCCGAGGCGCCGTGTCGATAATGCTCCAATGCCGATATAAGGAGCGGTATGGTACCGAGGACCACGCCCACCACCTCGATGCCGGACAACTTTCAATTCTGGTCCGAAGCCTTGAAGATCACCAAAGCTTTAAGGTCTAGCCTTTCAAATTCATGGCCGTAATATGCCAGCCCATCATGCCACCCCTCTCTATCATTTGCACATTGAGGGGAGATAAGCGCCCAGCTACGATAGATCAGCCTGACGTGGCGCTTTTCTCGTCAATGCGGGGAAATACCTGATTAATCAATCGAAGGAGGCCTTCATGATAACCTCCAATAGTCCGGTCGCGTTGCCCATTATCTTCAAGGTGCCACAGCGACAGCGTCCCTGTCCTTCATGGGGCACTGACTTTCATCGTACTCTTTGAACCCCGTTCTAGACGTCCATGGACGTATCTCTGAGCTGTAGGGTTAATTGTTGACTTCTGAAAGAGATATACATGTCTCTTAGTTCCCATTCAAGGACTAACCTGACGAGTCTCAGCGAGCATCTCGATCCACCACCCTTGGCGGGACGCCAGCTATTCTTACAAAACTGATCCAACATCATACAAAATCAAAGACATACGAACCCGCTTCTCTCCACAACAGACTGGCGTCTCATTATGGCGTCGGTTATTGAAGAAGTCGCCTTCCAAGCCATTATCTCTTTCGAATAGTTGATGAGATTATGGCGTCCGCATAACGAAGGACCTTCTGTCGTAACTAACCTTCCGAGTCTCAAAAGCGATCTATTCCAGTTGAAAAAGTGGCACGCAGACTTCAACACTTGCGACGTCACTGAGATGGATGGAGGCTACCTAGACCATCATCTGCGCAACGCATCTCACATTCAACGCCAACTCCTGAAACTACTGAACGGTCTTAAAGAGTCAATATGTGATTCGGGAAAAATCCTCAAAGGACAGACAGTTCCATGGGACAAGCTGAGCGACGAGGAACTTAAAGCTTTCAAACGTTTGAACACTGTAGGTGAGGTAAACAGTTCGCTCAAGGTTCCGATTGCTGATAAAATAGGCTTCGATTGAGAAGTTGAAGACCGGCTCGGCGCAATGGTGGGCAATGAAGCGGCGTCGAGAAGAAGTAAGAGGTCGTTCCGATATGACCGAAGGTCAAAAGTTTGATCATTGGTATCATCAACCGACTCCCGCCTTGTAGCCGAACACAGTTCGTACGATGGGGCTTCGGCAGCCCTTCAGGAAGTCAGTCTTGCGAACCCCAACGGCAAATCCAGCCCGCCACAGATTCAAGCCTCGCTTCGTGCGTTTCCTGCCATTCCTCGGGTACATGAGTGACCTCAAAATGGTCTTATATGGCGAGGCTGGCGTTACGCACAAGTAGTTTGGATAATCTTTTTCAGAATCAAGTCAAACAAAAAGCCCCATATCACAGGCAAGAGATACATCATGGATATCAATCTTGACAAACATATACTTTTCATTAAGTCCCCCAACAACATCACCTTCCCACCCCTAAAAGGAGCATCTTCAACTACCTTACAAGGGAACGACTGCTACCACGATGCCTCCCGACGCCAACCCTGGTAGCTTTGCCATGCAAATATAAAACAAAAGCCACACTCAAAAACCAAAAACAAGAGATGACAGCAAGGCACACAGGGAAAAAAAAGGGGGGAATGGACTAAGGTAGAAAGGGTTGTGGGGTATGTGTCATTACGAAGAAAGTGGTTTTTGTTTGTGTGTGAGAATGTGTATTACAACGGTGGTGGTGGACTGCCTGCCTGCTTTTCTTTGCGCTATGTAACCAGAATATTGCTAAATGCGTCCGATATCTCGGATGGTGTCGGGGCTTGAAACTTTTCTGGCGTGAAGCCAGCGGCGAGACGGTCCTGCATAATCTTCAGGAGGACAGCGGGGACGCTCTCGTCTGTAGCGCGGATCGTGAGACGAATCATCTAGGCAGAGTCAGTAATCAATCTTTCTCATTGTGGGTTTCAGGGGTAAACAAACCTTGGTTCCGTAGTTCGGCTCAAGACGCATCAAGCAACCAAATTTGCCCGCCTCCGAGGTGTGCAAGACACTAGCACCGACAAAGTTCTTCGCGTTGGGGTCGACACCGTCCAGGACACGCCATCGGAAGCCCTCGACCGTCTGCCGTACGAAGAACTCGTTCAACTCTCTATCCGACTTGCCAGGTGCCAGACCAAAGATTGCTTGGGCCTCACGAGGAGCGCCGCCAATCTGCTTCCAGCGCCTGAAGAAGTCGTCGGCGGTGAGATCTGCGGGGTCCATAAACTTGTGTGCGGTAATGGGGAGCTTAAGGGTAACAGCCTGCAAGGCACCAGCAAGGTAGCTGACGCGTATCGTCGGGCTCTTATCAAAAACCCTCTTCGACTCAAACATGATGACCTGCTGAGACTGCCCGTTCTGATAGATTGTGCTCTCCGGCAGATTCTTCACGTCCCATGTAAGCTTGCCCTTCTCATTTTCGTCGAGATCCAGCGTTGTGGTGAATGACCCCAGCGCCGTGGGGGTCTTGTTCTTGAAGTACAGGATCAGACACGCCATCTGACCTCTGTACTCGGCACGCACACCGACTTGAATCTGACCATCCTCGTACAGCACGCCTTCGCCCTTGAGAACAAGTTTGTTGTAGCCAACCTCCCAGTTAGGAGACAAGTGAGCTGCGCTTGCCAAGTTCGGTGCCTTCGTCTTTGGTTCGGCAGGTCCGAGGTTGTTCATGTCCAGGCCAGCCAAATCGTTGACACCATGGCCGTGGCCATTCGTTCCGTTCGTGCCTCCATTGGCCGCGTGTGAGTGACCGTTCGTGTTTGTGCTGAAGGTCCGCTTGAGACCTCCCTCCTTGGCCATCTTCATCTCTGCCACATCTGCGTTCGCATCCTTGCCACCGACAATCCAAGTCCTCTTATCGCTAGTGTTGGCATGCTTCTGATGCACTCTGGCAAGCAGTGCAGATTGTCGTTCGGAGAATGGCGGCATTTCGTCGCATACAGTGCGAAGAAGGTCGTCTGTCGGCAGTGTGGCGAGCGTCAGGTACTCGCATGCTCTCTGCTGAAGTTCAGAGTCGAGCGTGTGGCTGAAGACCTGGAATGCTTTGAGAAGTTGGGGCTTGATTTCGGGGAAGAGGTTGACAAATTTGACATAACATGAGAGAATCATAGCCCTTGTACTTGATGAGCAGGCGGCAACCTTGCTCTGAAGAGCCATGAACTGCTCAATGGGACTGCATTTGGGCTGATCGGCGATAAGATGGCCGAACTCGCCCAAGATATAGGCTCCGATCTTGACCAGGGTCTCGTGGCAATGGTCCGACTTGACGTACTGCAAGGAGTGCTGAGCCGCATAGACCTGCAGCTCCTCGTTGTTCGTCACAATTTGTATGACACGCTGCCACACCTCGTCGCTGACGTGATCACCAGCCATGGCAATCAGACGCAGTGAGATATCCACATACCATTGGACGTCAGTAGCATAACGTTCAGTCAAAATGGCAATCTTCAACACCATCTCCTCTCTTATGGCGAAATCGGCGTTCTGGAGGTAGTGGAGAAGTTCGCCAACGATGACCTGGGCATTAGACGAGTCGCACATGCTGTAGAGAAGGTCGAGACCTTTCCTCCGCACACTGATATCTCTGTCCTTGAGTGAGCCGAGAATGACGTCCTGGTGCTGCTTGATCGGTTCCAGGGTCTCGATGCGGGCTGCCAGGTGTGTCATTGCCTCCAAACCCAAGTATCGAACGTTGGTTTCCCTTGATGTCAGGAATCGTCCCAGGCGAGATGAGATTTGCTTCAGCAGAGCCTGCTCGTTATCCAAGTGAATGATGAGGTTGATGGCCTCGAAGAGCACAGCATTCTGTGCGTTGTTTTGCTGAACATTCTTCGTCTGCTCCATTGCGAGATTCAGAATCTTCTGCAAAGACTCTCGGATCATCTCACGGACGTGAGTGTCATCTGTGGCAGTCAGTACGTGGTAGTTGAGAAGCAGTGCCTTGTGCAACTCACCTGAAGGAGGAAAGTACTGCAGCAGACGCAGAAGCTTGACCTGGAGCCAGGGGCAAGGAACCTTGTAGTAAAGGTAGTCCGGAGTGTACTCCCCATCAATCACTATCCTCTTTATCCTTGCTGTGGCCTTGGCGTATGCTCCCTTGTACGCATTCGCATTATCCTGGGCAAGAGCCATGACCAGAGATGTGACGGACAGAGCCACTCCGACGTCCACGTCATCCAAAAGCGATATTATGCGCTCGGCCCATTGTGGCTGGACAATATCGGGGTTCTTGCGGTATAGACGGAGGAGTGTGAGCGAAGCCTTCTTCTTCACGAACGCCTTGGATGTTCTATATCGCTGCTGTTAGTCACTGGCTTGTTAATCAGGGGGTTGACCGAACGTACGGCGAAATCAGAAGCCTGTGGACCTCTCCGCTCAGGGCCTCTCCCATTTCCCTGCCACCTACGTTGGCAATTGCATGGAGAGCCAGGCAGTTGAACAGCTCATTATGGTCCAGCAAGTCCTTCCGTATACTGTTGACGACCAGATGTAGCAGCTCGTGCTTTTCGTGAAGGAACAGGGTCATGGCGAGGTATCCAATCTGCTTCTCCGAGTATTTGTTCGCCGAGATGAGGTTGACGGCCTCGAGATGGCCAAAGTCGACGTTCCATCCGAGGATGTAGATGTAGAGGAGCTTCGTTGATTGTCAGCACGAGACATTAGCCAATGCGGCCCAGAACAGTCCGTACCTTGCACACGTATTTCTTCTTGTGATAACCGCTCAGATTTCCATCTGCAAAGGAGTTAGCACATGAGCCTCGCAGCGACCGACCGTCGCAATGGACCCGTACCTTTGAACTTTTGTCTGCACGTAGAACCTCTTGTTAGCACTTTGTCGCGAGACAGCGCAGCATGACATCCCGGGAGGTGCGTGCTCACCGAATGTTGGCCAGCTCCTTATTGATTCTCTTCTCTTCCAGCTCCCTAGCTCTTGCGTTTCTCAAATCGGCGATGAATTGCACCAAACCTCGCATGTTGGAGTTGTTGCTAGTCGAGCGGCCGAGGAAGCCGCTCGCGGAGGAAGACATGGCTGCGGTGGTTGTCGGGTTCGACGGATACTCTGTTTAAAGCTGTCTCCTCTGTCCTCCAAAAAGCCTCTCCCCCTCTTCTTCGCGGGACGGGACGGGGTTGAGCTGGTTGGTGTTGTTGGACTTGCTAGGAGAGTTTCGCGGTAGAGCGGCGCGGATGCGGGATGGTTTGGGTGGTGTATTTGGCGTCGTGTATATGTTGTTGTCTGCTCCGGTGCGAGCGATGGGCAATCACTCCATGCGCGCGCGAGGGGTCCTTTTCTTTTCGTATTTCTGCTCGCTTACCCCAGCTGGCCTGCTGATTGCTGCGTGGAGTTTTTGGGGTGATCAACGGTCGGATCGGTGGACGGCGGGATTGTGGACTCGGCGACTCGAACTCGAAACCGGCCGGCAAGTGCCGCTGCGTGTCTTAGCAATGCGTTCCCGTCGAGTAATGAGGATGCAACCAGGGGGTTATCGACAATCGATAGAAGCTGGTGGTTGACTCAAGATTGAGTTCGGCCTTGTAGGGGTTTCGGCGTCGATTCGCGATGTTGCACCGGGAGGAAGTGGGAAATGGGAAACAAAACTCCAAGTAAAGGGGTTCGAGGGGCTTTCGCGGGCTTGGGAGAAAGCGAGACTTTAGAGAGGCCCGGAAGGCTTGGGATTGGGAATGCAGCCAATGTGTGGAGATGGGCGACGGGCCACCCAGCTGCACATTGGACGTCTGAACGGGCCCGTCAAACCACTACTCTGAGTCTGAGGTACCTCTGCTTGTACTTCTTCGCAGGTGATGTACCTCTCACCTCAGCGAAAGCATCCAATGCCTGATTGTGTGTCTAGTAGTCTACAACACGCAACACGGGCAACAACAGCTGCTGCGACTTGGACGTCAAGGCCGTCAGGTAAGCGTCCCAGCGTCCGTCAGGTGCTTGCTTGTTACACTTGTCCCCCATAGACTGAGCTCTTCACGGGCGGCCTGCTGCTGTGCGCGGAGTGTGCCCGCTGCTTGGAGACTGGGCGCGTCAAGGGTGTTGCAAGGTACTTCCATCGACCTTCTTCTCAAGCCATTGAACATGGTCGCCGTTGCTGACTGATGAAATTTGGGGAGAGAAAGTCAAGAGAGGGGACTTTGACCGGGGGGGGAACTGGACGGCGGACGCACGCTACGAGCCCGTGCAGCAGCGAGACCTCCCCCAGTCAAAAGGTACGTACAAGCGTACGCTAAGCTAAATTTGTTCCCGTCAATTGGCAAGCTCCAAAGTGTGCTGACAACCCGACCCAAATGCTGCATCATCGAAGTCGCTGAAATTCCCATGCGGAAGGAAAGAGCTGCCCTCCCGCCTGTCAATCCATAATAAGAAAACCTTCTTTTGTTCAACAAAAACCCAAATCCTACCACAGACCATAGCCGCCGCTTCTTTGTTCTCCTGCAGGCCTCTCAATCCCAGGAAGTCACACAGCCTTTTCCCACATGTCCGTCTCAGCGCTCCGGTGCAGATATGCGCCGCCGGTGATGAACTCCACGATCAGACGGGTGGTGTGCCTCGCCGCCGCACCGAGCTCCCGGTTCCTCGCCGGACCCTCCACCACAACCACACGCCGGTCCTACGCCGTGACATCCGGCGGCGGCTCTGCAGCCTTTCAAGTCTTCAACCGTCGTACAAAATGGCTGCAGAAGGAACGCGCAGCATCGAATCCCGACGCCAGCCGGCAAGCAGACTATCTCAAAGATGAGGTCGCAAACCGGCTATGCGAGAGGTTACTAGTAAGAATACGCAACCATCATCAATGGCCAATGCCTCCAGTAGAGACCACCAAATACTAACACAATTATCATTCTTAACAGGACATCAAACGAAGCTTCCCCCGCGCCCTCGACCTAGGCGCAAATTCCTGCAACGTCGCCCGCGCCCTCACCCGCGAGAACCCCGACCCAGACCCCTCAAAACCAATCTCAGCCCCTCTCGCCTCCCGCATAGACGAGCTCGTCGCCGCTGAATCCTCCCACGCCCTCCTCCACCGCGACGCCGACCTCCCGTTCAATAACGACATCAACATCACCCGCACCGTCCTCGTCGACGAGGAACACGTTCCCTTCGAGCCCGCCTCCTTCGACCTCGTCCTCTCCTCCCTCTCTTTACACTGGATCAACGACCTCCCTGGTGTCCTCACGCAAATCAACAATGTCCTCAAGCCTGACGCTCCCTTCATCGGCGCCATGCTCGGCGGCGACAGCCTCTTTGAGCTGCGCACTTCCCTGCAGCTCGCGGAACAGGAGCGCCGTGGCGGCATATCCCCGCACGTCTCGCCCCTCGCTGACGTCCGTGACGTGGGCGGGCTGATGCAGCGCGCCGGCTTCAAGATGCTGACCGTCGACGTCGACGATATAGTGGTCGACTACCCGGATACGTTTGCGCTCATGCAGGACCTGCAGGCCATGGGCGAGGGCAACGCCATCCTCGGCAGGGAGATGGGCGCCATCAGGAGGGAGGTGCTGCTGGCCAACGAGGGCATCTACAGGGAGCTCCACGGCAACGAGGACGGGAGCATCCCCGCCACCTTTAGAATCATCTACATGATCGGGTGGCACGAGGGCGGCGACCAACCCACGGCGCTGCCGAGAGGAAGCGGAGACGTGAACCTCAAGGATATCTTAGAGTCCAACTAGAAGTGATGTTGCACCTTGGCACATTGTAAGAATCGACTGTAAAACCTGTAAAACCAAAATCAAAACAAAAAATCTATGGCTTTCATTCATTGGCACGCCAGTCTTTTCTAGTTTTGAATTTCGTAAAAAAGACACGCCAAAAATCCGAGCATGCCCATACTCGTCATGAAGTTCATTACACCCCCTTTTTGTTGTCTCCTCATCTGTAATCGCCTGCCCCCCTCTAAACCCGTCTCCAATCAGTCATGACACGACCAATAGTTCCCAACCCAGCCACATCAACAACCTTCTCGTGCCAACTCAGCAAAACGCTCATCGCGCTACCCACATTCTCGTTGGTGCCGCCGGGCCGTCCGCCCATCTGGCTGAACCCGCTCGGCGCAGCCTGCGGCGGCGGCGACCGCAGCCCTCCGGAACCAGCAGAGCCAGCCATGCCCTTGTAAATGTACTTCATCAGAACGTCGAGAAGCTCAGGTCCGCCGGGAGTGCCGTAGATGGACTTGAGAAGGGGCGTCATCTCGGAAGCCTTGATGGATTGGAGGACCTCGGTGATGGTCTGGAGGTGGGCGTCCTGTTTCGTGAAGCACATATCTCGGTCAGCGATTCGTTCCTATACTTCCGAGCTCCAGGCAAAGAATGCCCTTGGATATTCAGGGCAGAGTGAAGTCTTACCTTGGCACCATCAGGTCCATTGTAAACAGGAAACTCCAAACATCCCCTCAACGCCCCCTCGGCATCCCCGCCACGAAGCAACTGCCGCACCTGCCCGGCAAGCTGTCGGACCTCGTCCTCGCCAATCTCGGGCTGCGGCGGCCGCAGGGTGTTGGTGTCAAAGTTGCACGCCGAGTCCTCCTGCAGGGCGTCAATGTTGATGGTCCGCCAGGCGTCGCTGAGCGAGGCGGAGGTGTGCTCCCGGATGATGGACATTGTGTGCTGTCGTCGCCGCTACGTTGTATGGCAAGAGTTCGGTTCGGTAGGTACGGTCGTTTGTGAAAGAGCTCCGTGTGCTGTAGGTCGTTGGTGCAGTTAAGGTAGCTCCCTCGAATTTGTTCTACTCTGGAACTATCGTCTTGCGTCAGGTAAGGTCGGGAGGTGAGGTAAGGTAAGGTAGCCGCATGCTCATGGTGGGGAGTTTGGCTCGGTGTGGAGGATGTGGGGTTCACTGAGGCGGTGCGCCTAGCTGACGACGTTGGTCCGTGCCATGGTTCATTCATGCCAACCCGCTGCAGACTGGATCTTGGTCATCATTCGCGATGGCGCATCAAAAGTCTCGATGTCATTCACCGTGGGTCCACGTTGATTTCTACGCCCAGGCTCGTTTGAACATCATGTTCTTCGTCCCGGATAGCAATAAATGACGGTTCTGTAAATAATGAATATCTGGCGCGCACATCTTCTGCAAACACAAGAACATCACTGAGACATGGCATGTGTAGAAACTAATAATTGCATGCCATTGTCTAGGTCCAAAAGTTGCCCAACTCTCACTCTCGTGCCCCCTCATACGTATACACAACGTCGACCGGTTGTCCTACTACTGCCGACTTCTCGGGAATATCAAACACCCGCATTTGGCATCCCCGCTTATGCGTCAATCAGGTTCTCCTCGTTTTGCTGCACCTGCTGTCTCTGCTTGCCCTTGTCCTTGGCCTCCTTGGCCGCACGCTGGTAGAATTCGTTGAGAACCTTGCCGGGGATACGGTTGAGCAGATCCTTGGGGTAGAGACGGAGCAAGCTCCATGCGAGGTCGAGAGACTCGTAAATGGTGCGAGCCTCGTACTGGCCCTGGTTAATGAACTGGCGCTCAAACTTCTCGAGGAACTCCAGAGAAAGCTTGTCCTCGGCTGACAGAGCCTCCTCACCGACGACGGCCTTCATGGCAGCAGCGTCACGACCGATGGCGTACTTGGCGTAGAGCTGGTTGGAAACATCGCCGTGATCCTTGCGGGTCATGCCCTCACCAATGGCAGACTTCATGAGACGAGACAGAGACGGCAGAACGTTGATGGGCGGGTAGATACCACGGTTGTAAAGACCTCTGTCGACGAAGATCTGACCCTCCGTAATGTAACCCGTCAAGTCGGGAATGGGGTGAGTGATATCCTCGTTGGGCATGGTCAAAATGGGCACCTGGGTGATGGAACCGTTGCGACCCGCAACACGACCGGCGCGCTCGTAAATGGTAGACAAATCCGTGTACATGTAACCGGGGTAACCACGACGACCTGGGACTTCTTCACGGGCGGCTGAGACCTCACGAAGAGCGTCGCAGTAAGCGGACAGATCGGTAAGAATAACGAGAACGTGCTTCTCGAGCTGGTAGGCGTAGTATTCGGCGGTCGTAAGCGCGAGACGAGGAGTGATGATACGCTCGATACTAGTATGGTTGTTAGTCTGCACATCCCTTTACGATACGTTCTGACATCAAACTCACGTAGGGTCGTTGGCAAGGTTGAGGAAGAGGGTGACACGCTCCAAAGAGCCGTTCTCCTCGAAATCGCGGGTGAAGAATCTAGCGGTCTCCAAGTTGACACCCATGGCGCCGAAGACAATGGAGAAGTTCTCCTCGTGGCCGTCGTGAACACCCTTGTTGGTAATACCCTGCTTCTGGACCAGACTGGCCTGTCTGCAAATCTGGGCAGCGATTTCGTTGTGTGGCAGACCAGACGAGGAGAAAATAGGAATCTTTTGTCCACGGGCGATGGAGTTCATGGTGTCGATGGCAGAGATACCGGTCGAGATCATCTCCTCGGGGTATTCCTACAGCTTGTCAGTGTCTGAGACCATTGTGTGATATTCGGGGGTATCACATACACGGGAGAAGGGGTTGATGGGACTGCCGTTGATGTCGAGGTAATCCTCAGCAAGGACCTTGGGGCCCTTGTCGATAGCTCGTCCGGAACCGTCAAAGATACGACCCAGCATGTCCTCCGACACACCAAGCTTCAAGCTCTGGCCGGTGAACTCGACTTTCGTCTGGCTAGAGTTTTAGCGCTCGTCATACTTGTCGAGATACGATGATCTCATACCTTTTTAACATCGATGCCTGATGTTCCCTCAAAGACCTATTTCCATCGTCAATCGGTGTTTCTCGTGTGATCGCTCGTTTTCGCATACCTGGACGACGGCTCGGTCACCTATAGACGTTCGTTAGTATATATGTCATTGAGTGAGGAGTGACGTTGTGTAAATACCTCGAGCCTCGAGGACCTGGCCCTGTCTGTTGGTTCCATCGGGCAGGGTCAGGGAGACAATCTCGTTGTATCTAGGGAATTTGACCTGGACGCAGAGTCAGTGCCTGATTCGAACAATTACAATTCCCTGGCGGACAAGTCTAGCGCGACTGGGCGACGACGCACATTCTCGAGGATGACGAGGGGTCCGTTGACACCGCCGACGGTGTTGTACCGAATTCTCGGCACGATGGAGTAAGAGGGCTCCCGCGGATCACTCATTGCTTCTGACGATCAGCGAGACAGCGCCGTACTAGAAGACAATGCGTGTTGGGTCGAGGGTGGGCGATTAGGAAGGGCGTGGGCGGGCGGATGGATGGAGACGATGCGAGGCGCTGCGATGTACGTAGCTGGAGGAGGTTGGCAGGTCGGTGCAGTGTCGTCGAATGCACTGCACTGGAGCTTGCTTCGTCTTGGTGGAGCCCGCTCGGCAAGCTGAGGTGGCGCCGATAAGATCACTGGGGCGCGGGCCTTGCACGCCTGGGAGCTTCCCGGTGCCATTATCGGCCTCAGTGTGTCAGTGTCAGCTTGGACGCTAGCAGTGTGGCAGTGACATCACATGACTGCCCGCACTCCAACCTGGAGGTACGAGGTACATTGATCCAATGCATCTTTCCCAGAACGAGCTTGCATAGCGGTACGTCTCGTGACGAGCACTTGAAGAAAGTATCTCAAACTTCATTTAAATTTCCAAGGAACTCAAGACTACGCCGTCGCCGCTTCACGAGATCTGGCGCCCAAAACAGCCTTTCCAACAGTGCTATCATTGGCCTTGCTCAACTCGCTCGTGATCCAAGCACCAATATCCGACATGGCGTCCAGATCAATACCAGTATCCATACCCAGACTCTCAATAAAGTAAATCATGTTTTCCGTAGCCACATTGCCAGTCGCACCAGGGCTGTAAGGGCATCCTCCAAGACCGCCAACACTGCTGTCAAACGTGCGAATACCATGCTCCAGAGACACAGCCGTGTTAACTAGAGCCTGGCCGTACGTGTCGTGGAAGTGCATCGCGATATCCTCGTTGCGGATTCCCGCAGCCCTCATGCAGTTCAACAGCTCCTTGGTCCGGGGAGCGGTTCCCATGCCGGTGGTGTCACCCAAAGACACCTCGTCGGCGCCCGCCTCCAGCAGTTCCGTCGAGATCTCAGCGACCTTGTGCGGGTCGACATCGTACCCCTCAAAGGGGCAGCCGAGGACCACAGAGACGTACGCGCGAACGCGGAGGCCGGCGGCCTTTGACGCCCGAATGACCTCACGGAAGCGGTCTAGTGACGTCGCAATATCGCAGTTGAGGTTCTTCTTTGAGAAAGACTCGGTCGCTGCCGCGAACACGGCAACTTCGACAGCGGGGGTCGAAGCATCAGCTGATGGCTGGAGTTGTGATGCGAAAGCGCCGGGGTATTTGGCCAGCAGCGCCTGGGCATTTTGCAGACCCTTAATGTTCGGTGCGAGGAATGAGTATGATGTTTGAGCTGGAGAAGAGACCTTTCGGGTAAGGAGGTGCTCGAGAATTTCGCTTGAATTGGCCATCTGTATGGATTCATCCGTTAATAACTGATCCCAAGGTCATCAGGCTACTGGGTAAGCTTACCTGGGGAACCCATTTCGGCGAGACAAAAGAACCTCCTTCAATTGTAGATACCCCAGTCTTGGCGAGCCTCTCAATCAGCTCGATCTTGGTCGCGAGGGGTATCGTCTTCTTCTCGTTCTGGAGGCCATCGCGAGGGCCGACCTCGACGAGCTTGACATAGTTGTCGCGGGGCGGGTGCTGGATGGGACCGCTGGCGGTTGCAAACGCTCTCGTGGGGCGGATCTGGGCCTTGCGACACGCCCTACAGATTGATGGGCGAATGGCAAGCATTTTGGAGTTGAATTGATTGAGGAATTGGCAACGAGGGGTCGGTCGGCAAGTTACAGAGACCTTGGAGAAGAGCTGGGGCATGGGGAGCTTGGCCGCATATCGTCGGCTTCCACCATGCCTCGGTCGCTGCCAAGTGGTGCCGTCTGGAAGCAGCTGGACACACAGCCGTGTTAGTTCGACGTATTAACCGCATCTTCTTCCCAAGGCATAATGCCATTTCGCAGGGCACAAACTTGTACTGGACGCTCCGATTACCTACATTTGTTTGTCCAAGTCTGCCTAGTCTCTTAGCATGAAATACAATACGAGATTAGACAAGGGGCTTTCGCGCTCAAGACTGGCGTACACCATTTAGCCGTGATCCTGAGATGCAACCAGGCGGCACAGCAAGCGGACTTCAGGACGTATTGAACCAAGTGCGGTTTCCCCAAATAGTCTAAAATTCTCATGGGTATTCTATCAGTCTGGGGTTCATTTAATTTCGCGCTCGCGAGTGGCGGGCGGCGCCGTAGGGGGTAATTGCCCTCTCGAGACGTCGAGTAGTAAGGTAGTCGTGCTTATTTCTACCTAAGCCTTCTCCAAACGCCTAACTGCAACCTTCTTCCTCTCTCGCTGCAAAGCTCTATGAACATGATGGAACGATTCTTCTCTTCGAGAAAGAGGCCTTTGCTATCTCTTCTCGCCTTCTTCATATGGCTCATGCCTCGCCTTGTCTCGGGACAGACAGCGATACAGACTCAGTCGGTGCCTGCTATCATGCCCACATTGGTTGGGCCATCAAAACCGCGAACTACCCCTTGGGAAGAGCTTTGTACCACTAGAGGCCTAATAGAACCATGGATGTAAGGTCTCTTCCGACTTCTTCGTCGTTTAGAGCGAGTAATTGACAAAAGTCTTCAGGTATTACTCTGCTTGCACAAACTCCGTCATGCTGAAACAGCTCTCGTCGAGCGACTGCTCACCGTACGTAACACGAACCCTCAAGGACACCGACGCATCGGATGCCGCCGGTGTCTTGATGGATTGTTTCTGCCCAGCATACCAGACTATCGGAAGGTAAGTTTCCTCTCCATCCCTTAATATAGAGACCGGCGCTTCGAAAGTAGCAGACGTACTTATGCCTGAACTAGCGAATGCTTGCATTGGGTCTGTCCATATCAAGCAGAGGACTTGTACACCAAACAACTTCTCGAGGGTGTCTGCCCTGGGGTTTCTGCTGTAGCCAACGTTTCTTACCCGTTCCAGACTTCGGCTACCACGACTGCCGAGGGAACTACAACGGCGACTTCTAGGAGCAGCGGTCCTGATGGTGCTGCCGGTTCGTTAAGAGTTCCAGTGGCTTTGTCCTTTGTAGCTGTCTCCATCGGCCTGTTTTCGTCCTTGCTGTGAGATAGCGAGATACCGTGGGAAGGAATCGGCTCTGCTAATGTCTGAGTCATCATGGAATTTCTTCTATGGCCTATCAATAAGAAAGGAATGACTTCCAATGCCTCTACTCAGTGTGATTCGTCCATGTGTCTTCCAGAATTACATACTCTAGCGTAGAAATCAATTATTCGATGTCTTTTAACAAGTGACAGCATGTCGCAACTTCATGTCAAGTCAATGGCATTTAGCCTGTCTCATAAGATCAGGTTCCTATGGCTCAAATCGAGACCGGGAACGCCAAAATCTGAAGGGTAGCCTCTTCATGCTCACTTTAGTGACTACAAGGTTTCCAATATGTGATATTGACCAATCCTGAATAGCGTTGCCATACAGTTGGCCTCTAGAGAGATCATTATCCTGCCTGGCTTGGACCTTTTACGTTGTTGGACAAGCAATCAGAGGAAGGTAATGTATGTGAGATAACACATTCAGGCTCTGTAAGAGTTCATCCATGGTGTTCCTTTGGCATTGACTAAGATCTATTTCCACGTTGCAGCGAGGGTACTGCTGAGGAATCATGATCTTCAACCTCCGGACGGGCTGAGTACAACTCTCTCTTCTCAATGGGAATACCCGAGCTGCAGGGATACTTGCTTGAGGATGATGAAGTGGGGAAAACGATAGATCTCGGTCGATATCTCACAGCAAGCATGTACTGGTCCATCCCTCATTGATGCCACCGAGGTCGACAATGTTATAATGCCATTTGATGTTCATGCTCTGCTCTCGCTCATTACCAATGACAGAAAGCCAACCGTCGGTCGAGAACACAGGCTATAATCCAGGCTCTGTAGATGTTTCTAAAGTTCCCATATATGTGTTTTGTCTGTCTCCTGCTGCTTGTTTATGCTGCTGGTTATCGGGTCCAGGTTGTGAAGGTAAGAAATCTGCAGTTACCCTCAACGTCGACCAAGTAAGGTAGTCGACGTAAGCCGGGTTTTCGGATGCTTGCCGGACGGAGGATGCTAAAAGGATGACTCAGTAGGATACTACAGAACTCACTCCTAATTCCGTTCATGTACATGCGGGGAGTGACTCCCGAGCAAAGCAATGTCGACTGTGATGGCAACTCCAAGCGCATCACATCCTATCAATGGTTCTCATGAAGCCCCTCCACCAACAGCTATGGCCCTAGCCTCTCAGTCTTCTGGTCATCCAAGGGTCCGTAGGAGGCACAAAACACACGGGGGGCAGCTGGGCATCCCATTTCCGCCGCCCTGCAGACTGCTCGCTTCCGCTCGAAAGTCTAATATCTGCTCTTTGCCGAGGATATGAGTAATACCGCCATTTCGCCACCCCACAAGTGGGATTTCGACGATATTGTGCTATACCTGGACGTTCCATCGTGAGGTATCCGAAGGAAAACCCGGCCCCATCCCATGTCCAGGTACCTACTCTTCCAGGTTCTCAAGGCTCGGGTCTTCGTGTCTCTGGCACAGTGTACACGGTCTTTGCCGGGCTGTCACTGCATGACCGCTCGCATCGCCCCAGTGTAAGCCAACATAGTTTGCAGGCTTTTTTGATGCTATCTCCGATGAACCCTGGGCGGTCTATGCTTCCACCCCCATCCCCATGATGGCTCTCGTGGATGATGTGATGAGATTCCTCTTCTTGTGCTCAGAACGACGTTCGATGTCTAAAGCTGATGTAATCAGATAGTTGCAATGAACGACCTGGAAATTGGAACCGGTTTGATGGTACCTTATGGGAGGTACGGCAGTAGGCGAGGACCCTTAAAAAACTGGAGGATAGTGCATCTATAGGGTTGCGTAGGGAAGATGCCATTGGCCGGGCAGGTACCAAGGCTGGCCTTATGGGGGTGTTCGTGGGGCAGATCTTCAGGTACAGCGCACTCAATTGACTCAATCAAAACCTTAATTTCGCTGCCCCTGGCGACGGTCCGACGACACTCTATTGACTCTCACTTACACACCCCGACTAACAAGGCTCACTGACACCGACCTACACGGTGGAAAACTGGGGTTTCTTTTTCTTCTGTTGAGCCGCACAGTACAGCCAACGTAGATTTGAGCTTTCAAAGTCCCGTTCCGTGGCATTGCTGGTCATGGACGGCCAATTGGTACCCCGATTAGTTTGTACTCTTGGTCTTTGCGTATGGCAGTCCATAGTGGTGGCTACGTCTCAACCCATGGAACGGCAGCGATTCCAGCCTTCAATGGCACAAAGGGGTGTAAACAGGCCCGACAACTGTTGCCTCGAGCATCACCCACTCTCGTAGGATTGATATCAAATAATGGTCTTGAAACTGGTCTCAAAACGAATACAAGGATGACAATCCTCGTTCAACTTCGCAGCAATAGGATGCTTCTGATTCCATAATGTATCCAGACATGTCGTTTTCATCTTACAGTAGATATATCAGATGCTCTGGAGCGGTAATCTCGCAAAGAGCCGCAATGCTAATAGTCCTCAAGCTCTCGAGTCCTCAAGCCTTCGCACTCTCACATCTATCTATCTCTGAGTCAATTACTCCACCGATTACCGGTCTCCTTAAGCAGTCCCTTTTTCTCTCTTGCAATCATCCAGTACTTCGAGGGGTGTATCTCTGGGTCAGCAGACCTGCGCAGACGCCAGCTACCACTCCCGCCCAGAACTATGTTTCCTGGGCCTGGACGTCCCGGCACTCTGCCTCAGAATCCAGCTATTGAGTGGCCGTTTCCCGCCCATCGTACCCTCTACATGCCGCCATTTTGCTTTTTGGACATGTACTTTGGCCAAAAAAGCGTCGTCGGAGAAAGGAACACTACAACTTACGCTACCCGGAGTTGGCGAGCATCATGAACCTCTGTAGCATCTGCTTCTTTCGGTCTCTTATAAAGTGCCAAGTCTCCCTCTGTCTTGTGATAAACAACTTCTCTAGCCATCATCCCAATTCACTTCATCTACATCCATCGATCCAATTCAATTAACACAACTTCTCAATTCCCAATCACTTACTTCCAACCAATTCAATGGATTACTCTCAAAACACCTACATGGGCTATAAGGTTCACTGGTCTAAGGTTGGCCTGGCGTATTATTTCGACGCAGTCGGCAATATGAAGTTTCCCGACTTTAGATTGCCTTGCCCTTCTCAGCCCAACAATACCATTCAAAATCCTCTAAGCGGATACAACCAAGATACTGAGGGATCGATAACAGACTTCAATAGGCAGTTACAAATCGCTTTAGACAATTCCCCAGACTTGGTCGGAACGACCTATACGTCGGCTCAGTCTATTTCCCCACAAGATCCAAGCGGCCCTAGTACCTCTGGCTTCGTCTCTGGTACCGGCTTATACAACAATGAAGCTACGAACTGGAACATGAATACCAGCAACAGCAGCGGATATATCACCCAAGAGCAAATGCTGCCTTCAGTTGGCTCTGCTTTCGCCCCCGCCAACCCCTTCTTTGGGCACGACCTCCCCGAGGGCGAAAACGTGTTCATCTCTAACTACGACATGACTCCTAGCAACAGCCTTCCCCTCCCTGCCCCTACTCCCGCCCCCGCTGGACCCTCCTCCGGGCTCAACGTTCCCGTCGCCGGCAGTATGCTCCCTAACGGATACAACGATACCGTTGCCAACCCTCCCCTGTTCTCCGCCAACAATGCGGCTGCGGGCAGTAGCTTCACCCCCGCCGACAACGAGGGACAGAGCTCCCCCTCAGGCGACGACAGGATCTTCAGGGACGCCCTCGGCCCAAACATTCAGGACGCAAGAGTTCAAAAGAGAGGCAAGGGCAGAGGCAAGGGCAAAGCCAAAGCCAAAGCCCCAGGCGCTCGTGTCGTCAGGGCCTTCTCCTGCGTGCAGTGTCGCAAGAAGAAGACAGGGTGCGACGGAGGCTCCGGCCACCCTTGTACAAGGTGCCAGAAAGCCGGAACGGCATGCGAGATTGACTTGAAGGATCACCGCACCAACAGAACCACCATGGACAAGTGCGAGGAACTCCGCGTTGAACTCAACGCTCATCTCATCAAAGTCGCCCAGGTCTGCCACCACCTCTGCGGGAACTTACAAGACCCCGCGTCCGAACGGGGCCAAGTCGTTGTTGGAGCCGCCAAAGTCCTCGTACTATACGCCGCATTCAACAAACCGATCGAGCCCTGGATACTTCATGATATCCTGCGAGTGGATGAAGACACGACGCGCCAGCTTCCGGAACACCGGCATCTCTTGGGAGACATCTGCAAGCGAGCCAAGGAAATGCTACATGTCCTGTCCAAGCTAATCGAGATGCTCACCCACAACAACAACGCAGACTGCCGGTATCATGCCATCCACATGACCAAAGCTCTGTTCGCCAGCAATACGCCACTGATCGGACCCGACGGTCTTGACAAGAAGATCAACGACGTGTTTGTGGCTAATGAGGAGGACTTCGTCTATTCCACCTTGGCAGACGAGCTCAATGGTATCATTGCCAAGCACCTCTAAGCGAAGGGAAGGAGGAATTGGGATTTGGGGGGTCTGTCGACGTGGGGTTGTCTCTCTGACAGGAAGAGAAAAAACCGCCCCCAAAGAAGGGAGGGCAGGTCTGAGAGATGCTAGGTGCAAAAAGACACCATGAATTTGAAAGCATTACTTGGCGTTAGGATTATGGGTGGTACACCCGGTGCACAAAGACAATATGATTTCGGGAGCATCGTCTAGCCTTAGGACTCTCCTTGGGTGGTATACCCGGTGCAAAAAGACACCATGACTTTGAGGGCATTACTAGGAGCTCTGGTACTAGGTTCTCACTTGAGTTCCTACATTTCGAGTCAGGCCCATCGGTTCTACTCTAGTACTCAGTTCGGATTTATATAGTCAATATAAATCCATAAAAAAATGACAAGGTCCTTGGTGCACTAACACGCTTTCCCGATAACACAGGATGAACCCTTTTCCCCACTGCCGTCAGCCTTCTCGATGTTATGCGACTTCGTATCATGGCTGGCCTCAATTCCACCTGTTGTGTCGATGTTCTGCCGATGTTTCTATTGTCCAGCCGCTCCCTCTATGAGAGTACCCTTCCTCAAAGGTTTGATATCAGAAGTCAGGCTTGACTGATGCCATGTGACACCAAAGGTTAGCGTGAGGTTTTTCTAGAGACTCCAGTGTGGTAACTGTAGCTAAATCACTTGGTATGACATTGGTAGATTTGTATGATGGAGTGAATCAACGTTGAGGGAAATTGGTTGCAATGATGGAAGCGATGGAAATCGATCAAAAGCGAAGGTGGAGGGGATGAACAATGCCACGGACATAAGTAAAGTGAGGACACATAATCCGGAAGCTTCAGGAGAGAGAATAGAGGTGGTTCAAAGTGCCTACATCTGTAACAGACTAACGGACGTATGTGTGTGCGCAGCTTGGGGAGGACGTTTTGCGTCAATTCTAAGTGCTTGTATCACCCAGAGTCGTCGTCAATCGAAAGACAGAGGATGAACAGTTGCAACAACACCAGCGACTTGATTTGTATATCTAGAATCGTCATCAATACGCGTGAATAATTCTCTCGTGGCAGGTTGTGGACCCCAGAACTCACCTCGCTTCCCCAAAGCCAGTGTGTCTCGGCTTTCTCCATCGCTTTCATCCATCACTCAACATTCCAAAAACTCACTACACCGACTCCGCTAGATCAGAATCTTCGCCTCACTCTTAGGCCCCCTCTCCCCAAAAATCGTGCTCCCCACCCTGACCTCCCCGCTCCCCAACTTCACGGCGCCTTCAAAGTCCTCACTCATACCCATACTCAGCTCCAACTCCCTCTGCAAGCCCAGCTCCTTGACAACCAAATCCCGCTGTTCCTTGAGACACACAAAGTCCTCATTCTCGTTCTCGGGCGTCGTGGCCTTGCTCCGCGCGATGGCACCAATGGTCATCAGGCCGAGGAGCTTGAGCGCGGGCGACTGCTCCTCGACGGCGCGGCAGAGCGCGACCGTCTCCGGGCCCGGTTCGGCGCCGGACTTGGAGTCCTCGCCCGAGGTGTTTACCTGTACGTGGACGCCGAGCGGCGCCACGGGGCCGCTGCTACCGTCACTCGATGACGAAGAGATGAGCTCCGCTCGCGAGGCGTTGAGGAGCTGGACCTTTTTTAGGGTGTCTACGCTGGAGACGCAGAAGAGGTTTGGGATCTTGGCCAGCTTCTTTGCGTGTGCTATTCAGTGCGCGTTAGCCATATGATTTCATGCCTGGTTATTTGGACACAGTCTCCCAAGAACCCTAGCCGATTTCCTCACATCGACTGGTTGGCACATGAGGAACTACGTAGAAGAGTGCAAGGAGCGCACGAGAAGCCTTTAGGGAAACACTTACTTGATTGCAAACCGCCGATAAAGTGCCATTGAATACTCCGAGGTAGCATCTCTGCCTTCTGGCCCAGCTCCTGTGCGTAGTTTTCGCCGAAATGCACCTGCGGCGGCGTGGCCTGCTGGTGCAGCGCCAGGATGTCGTTGGCTGGCTTCAACTTTGAGACTGCCACTAACCTGACCTTTTGCCACTAAATCAGCACTCATCCCATACGAAAACTCATGTTCGTCACTTTGAAGAGATAACGTTCTCTTTGAGTTCCAATCTTTGCCTCTGCACACCACCCCCGGGAAGTATGTATAAGGACGACTCACATTTCGCCCCGCAGCGACAGCGGTGACGCGCTCCTGGACGGACTGCAGCTGCGAAACCAGAGCCTTTGCTCTCGAGGGATCGATCTTCATCTCAGGTTGGGTGTCGGTCATTGCAGGGTTTACCGGGATTAATGGTGTCGATGAGTGAGGTTGACGTGTGTGAGACAGTAAGTGGGTGAGACTGACGGGATTTTTGGCAGTGGAAGTTGAGGCGAGGTTGAATTGCAGAGTCATTGAGCTTCCAGCGTCTTCGGAGACGGACTTGAGCTGCGCTAACAAATATGGGCCCGGTGTACGGCGAAACGGGGTGCGGAGTAGCGGAGATGAAGTTAAGCTGCTTCAAACTCATTCAACCACCTTGATTGTCTCTCTTGCCTGGACACATTTTTATTATCACTGAGTCACCTAGTCTCAATTTTTCCGAAAGACCCTGATTGAATGGATATCATTCATACTTTCTCCTCTCAGACCAAAAAGCGGCGATTTGAGCGAGATGCTGTATTCACTAGCCAAGTTACCTCGTGTGCAACTGAGAAAGTACGAGACTAGTCCACTATTGCATGACTTATACGCAAAGCGAGCGAATATGTAGCGGTCAACAGTCGCTGACTGCAAAGAGCGTTGATGGTAAAATCGAGCACCGGCTTGAATGACCACATCCGAACCATCCGCAGCGGTCTCTCAGTCTCGGTCAAGCTCCAGAAGAAACACCTTTCAGTCTCTCCCAGTCATTCTATCATAAGGCCATAGACCTTTACCTTCGGTATATAAGATGATGATTCGCACCCCGTCACCAATCCTGAAACCCAGGACAAGTGGCACATACGAACATTTTGGCGTCCGGACAGATGTACGGCCAGATTGTGAAGACTTGTCCATGATTATTAGATTATCTTGATTCGAGGAATTCAACCCAGCTATCAGTATGCCACTTGCCCATGTATCCATTTGGCATCTCTCACATGTCGTCGCTGCTCACCTCCGGAAATTGAGATTCCAGTCCACGCCCCTCATACAAAGAGCCCTCATGTCTCGCCCTATGGGATCAATGTCGCTGGGATCCCGCAAGTTCTGGCGGGTACCTCGAATTCGTCGCCGGCACTTCCTGAGGCTCTCGGACGCCAGGCAGCTCTGTCATTGGACTCTGGTACTCGTCCACCGGCGACGGGTACGATGGCGGAGGAGTCTGCCGCCGGCTGATCGGACTGACATTACTAGTCTGGTGCGACAGTTGACGAGCCGGCGGCACCACGAACATGTGGTCACCGGATGAGTTGGGGCTGGCATACGCCGAGTCGTGGCGCATCTGCTGATGCACAACGGGATGCAGCGTGGGCGTGGGATGGCGAGCCTGGTTTCCCGTGTTCGAGACGTGTACCGTTCGGTTGCGTCTACGTAAGAACCAGAAACATAGAGCCGCGGCTACTAGAGCCCCGACCGCTGCGCAACCCACGGCGATTCCGGCCACGGCGCCGGTGGAGAGGTTCGTTGAGCCCGCTGAGGGAGCGGCCGACTCCGTCGCTGGACCGGATGTCGCGTTTGCTTTGATGACGAAGCCGCGGCTTTGTAGCCCGTTGTCGATGAAGCCCGCAGGCGCATTGGTCTGGGTGTAATTCCCGGTTGGGTCGATGATTCTCAGGGCGAAGTTGGGGTTTGCAGCTATGGTCTCTCCCGTAATGCCGTCATTCTCTCCGATATACCACGTGTAATATCCATTGTTTCTGTCATTAGCTTCGCAAGGCGTCAGTTAGCATGACTGTCTTGAACCACCTCGCAATCTCGTTGTTCTTACTGATGAAAGATTTGACAGCTATGCCGGCGTCCTGTCCCCAGTGCACAAGACTTAGAGAGATCCATGGCACAGTCGGGACCTCCCATGTGATGTGAACCTTTTGTCCGAGTACATAAGTGCTGTTGAGATCCGGGACGGTCACACGAGCACCACTTCGGTCAATTTCGAAACTAGGCGGTTCGGTGAAGTAGTCAGCTCGCACGGGAAGTATTGAGAAAGATAGTATTCCCAGGAGGACTCGACAGAGCGAAGACTGGCAGCGGCACGACATGATGAGAGATATAGACAATAGAAACAAAAACGGGTAAGATCCTGGAGAGAATATAAACGCTTCATAATATGCATTTTGGCCAACGATCACTGTGCCGTTTGCTCAGGGGACTGCGACTCATCTTGAGTCTGCCTTGACTAGTCCGGATTGAGGCATCATTCCTGAGACGCAGGTTCTTTAACAAGGGTGTTAGATAGAACGTTGCAATGAAATGAATGCTCCTTAGGCTAATTATATGGTTGGTAGACGCGATGCTGGCTGAGAATAGGTACGCTGTGCCGCTGGGCTACAGCAATACGAATGCGCCAGCCAAGAGTTCGTTTAGTCTAGGTCGCGAAGAGTCTGCTCATGGACTACACAGTGTTGACTCATTCGAGTAATACCACGACGATCTATCGTCTCGAAAGGAAGATATAGCATGAAAGTAGGCGTTATGTTAATGAAGCATCGTGATGAGAATGTTTAAAGTGGTAATAGGCAGACGAATGGAAGAGCTCAATTGAGGCAGTGTGGCCCCACCACAAGCTCCAGCCACTGCTATGTTATCGCTATCAGATACCAGCACCTTATCTTATCGGCCACCTACATTTGGATCCTTGCTTCACGTAAAGTTACGCGTTCAGAAATTCCAGGGGGATCGGAGGGTGGGATGACGGGATGTCATTTTGTACGGCATGTTGGTTGGCTGACACCTGCCGTGCTGCGGTTGCCTTCAGGTTCCCCCTTGCTGTGCCTTATGCCGTGTGCCGACCGTGTCTTCGTCAGCTCCCCAATCCCGAGAGAGATAGGAAAGAGAAAAAAAAAGGGATGAAGGAGGAGGTGCAGTGAATTGACGACGAACCATCCAACTACGATCGTAGCGTGTCCTCACTTTTCGCCTCTCACACGGGCAGCTCCCTGGTCCTTTCTGGCAGCTAAACTTTTCCGCCTTTCGCTTAGGGTCAATTTCTCTTCTTCAAACGCCTTTTTTACTTTCCTTTTCTTATCGTAGCTTCGATCAATTTGACCTCCATTCTCTCATTTATCAAGCCAGGTGTCTGTTCTTCGGCTTGGCTTGGTGTTGGAGCTCCCTATCCACATGTCCTACCCTTGAGCTTGACCACCGCGAATCGACTCGACTCGACTCCATCGACCCACGATAACCTCAATCGATCTATCCCACTCGGCGTACGGCCCCTCCAAGGCCCCGAACTCCCGAATCTTCATCGTCGGCTACACCTAGCTCGCCCATCATGCCTAAGCAACACATGATATTTGGGAGGCCCCTCCCCCGCATTGGCACGAGACGCATTTCCCTCCTCCTCGTCAGCATCTCCATCTTTGCCGTCTTCTCCCTCATCTTCACACTCCCGAGCGCCATCCCTGCCGGCCCGAGTCTATCAAAGTACACCGATCATAAGTTCTCGATACCCTCAGCTCTGAAGAACCCATTCGGCGCCTCGAGCAGACTGAACCCCTTCAAGTCACCCTCACACCCGCCCCCACGTCAACAAAATGACACGTACGGCGAGTCTTCTTGGTGGGCGGACTGGAAGTGGCTCTCTGTGCCCTTCTCTTCCTCATTGACCCTCGACGAGGAGCGCTCCCTGCTGCCTCCCCTCAAACCTCGCCCGGCCATCTACTGCTACTACGATACCACCATCAAGAAGGACGCCGCAAGCAAAGATGCCGAGAGCGAGCTTCTCCTCCTCTGGCGCCGCGCATGGTGGGCCCGCGGCTTCAAGCCCATCATCCTCAGTGCCGCTGAGGCCATGAAGAACCCACTCTACGACGAGCTCCAGCGCAAGGAGATGGACGCCGATCTCAAGACCGACCTAATGCGCTGGCTGGCCTGGGATAACATGCGCGGCGGCTTACTCGCCTACCACACCACCCTGCCCATGGGCTCTCACGAGGATCCCCTCCTCTCGTACCTCCGCCGCGGCGAGTACCCAGAGCTTACCCGCTGGAACAACTTGGACAACGGTCTCTTTGCCGGCGGCGAGAAGGAGGTCACAAACGCCATCAAGGCTACCATGGCCAGCTCCAAGCTCAAGGAGACCAAGGACTTCGTCGCTGCCGCGACCGAGGATACCTTCAAGATCGACAACTACCCCAAGGCCATTGCCTACTACGACGTTACGGTCATCCAGGACAAGTACCCCAAGGTCGGCGAGGCTATCGCCGCAGACCGTGCTGGCGGCCTCAAGGCCCTCAAGAACCTCATCAACGGCCACCTGCACACAACCTGGCAGAACGTCTTCTCAGACGGCATCGCCGTCCTCAAGCCTCTGCCGCAGCACATGACGAACCTCATCAAGGACGCCTGGGACCTCGCCGGCGACCTCTCCATGTGCCCCGACTCCCCCATGCCCTCCTCTTGCCCGCCCAATAATCCCAAGTGCAAGCCTTGCGTCCCCGCGCAGCCCATGCACGTCTCGACCCCTCCTCGCTACCGCAACACCTCAACCCTCTACACCATCGGCACCGTGCCGCACCCCTACACCACCGCCCTCCTCTCCAACCTCCAGGACTCTATCGAAATCCCATGGCTCCGCCGCAAATCCGAGCGCGACGCCTGGCTCGGCGCCGTAACCACAGAGCTCCTCGGCGTTGGCATCGGCAGCGCCCCGCGCGTCCTCAAGTTCAAGGAGGCCGTCGCCGGCGAGTTCGCGACCGCCCACTCCCTCTGGCTCACGGCCGAAAAAGACCTCCCCAAGGACCTCGACTGGCACTTTGGATTCGCCATCCCCCACAACGCCACGGACGGGACCTCGCAGACCCCCGTCCCCGGCCCCGAGCGCCGCCCGCAGCCCAAGCACGACCCGGCTGACGGACCCATCCCGACCGCCGAAGAGCTCGACAAGGAGGCGCCCTTGCTGAAGAGGGCCCGCGACATGGGCAAGACCAAGGACGCGCGCGAGCTCTCTATCCGCGGGGCCGTTGAGGCGTGGAACCTGGCTGATACCGAGTCGTGGAAGTTTGCGCGGGCGTTCCTGGCTCGTCGTATCGTTGAGCGCAAGGACTGGGAGGAGAATGAGAGCCAGTACGTCGGCGGCGTTGGTACTGAGAAGGGACGCCGTACGAGTTGGGGTGATCGCTGGGTGGATAAGGATAAGAAGCAGTAAAAGGTGATCTTTCACAGGAAGATTCAAAAACGGCAGCACAAAACAAAAGCGGCGGTTTTACATGAGGAAAGTGCTACTTGGGATTGTTGTAGTATGAACGTCGTGGGAATCGGCATGTGACACTATGTATGACTGTATCGCGGTGTACTTGTTCTTTTTACGGATTGTACGGGTCTGGTATGGGGCATCTGGAGTTTTGAGAGAATTATCTTCGTTCCCGTGTAGAGTCCCGAATCAAAGAAATTTTCAACCCCTAGATTTCAAGAAGACGGGACCAAGAAAGTGAGGAAGTTTGCTTCGACAGTCGTGGCATTTGCGGTGATTGAGACACTTGATTGTGGGTTTAATGATGTATGATGGCTGCCTCTCATGTCTTCTAACATAACCCTCTGTTTCTAGTGTCATCATTTCATTTTCTACGATCCTCGACTCGACCACCTCATCTCATCTTAAGGCTCTATTCGAACCTCGTACTTGCAGTCAGAAGAAAAAGCGAGATGTTGAATTTCGCATGAATAAAGTAGAAAGAAAAAAAAAACGCAAGAGAACAAGAGTGCGAAGAAGACAAGTTGAGTTGTCCCTCTTACACGTCACGGGCCAAAGTCACAGCCGCCCCCTCCCATCACCGTTTTGATTTTCAGAAACAGGCATAGATGGATAGGAATGCAAAAGAGAACATTTGAGCCCAGACCCTTTACGCAGCGCGCGTGTCGCCGCCAAGCTCGCCTCCCAACTCCCTGGCACTAGCGCCATTGCGACCGGCCTTTGAGCCGTTGACGCCGTTCTTGGCCGTCTGGTGCTGGGCTTCGTTACTGTTGCTGCCGGTAGTAGCCTCGGTGTAGCTCCTCAGCGCGGAGCGGGCTGCCTCGACGACGCTCTCGGCGGCCTTGAGGGCATCTCTCAGCGCCTGGGCCGTGGGGTCGTCGTTCTCAGAGCGTGCCCCCGAGTCGCGCTCCTCGAGGAGCTCGCGGATGTGGCCGTTGAGCCAGAGACCCTCGAGCTTGTCGCGGGCCATGTCGCGTGCGCCGCCGATCGTGCCACGGCACGAGGGGGTACCGCAGAAGCAGTCAAACGGCTGGGCCATGTGCCATTCCGTGGAGGGGTAGAAGAACTGGGTGGTACATAGACGTCAGCGCGTGCTTTTCCCGATTTCGATTTCCTCCCTTTCCAAGCCTCAAAAGGCGATAAACCCCCCTGGACCACGGTTGCCCAGGGTCAATGGGTGAAATGTGACAACTCACAGTTAGTTCATCGCCAGGCTGAAGTCCTTTCGGGCCAGCCAGGACATTAAAGTTGCCTGTGTCAAAAATCTATAAATAGCACCTGTCAATCTCACATCTCCCGGGATGTCCCTGTCCCCGACCCCGGGTAGGTTCTGGGGGATCTTGGAAGTAGACATTTGTGCTTGTCTGGTGGCATTACTAACAAGAGATGGTTCGCATGAGTGGTTAATGTACAGCAGGTCACTGTTGAGGTTCAAGTGCTTGGCCTTGCCGCACTGAACGGTGGCATATGTCGGCTCGTCGGCCAGGTCGCATGGCGGGAAGGACATCTTTGCGTAAACGGCAAAGGGCGGCAGAGAGACCTTGGAGAAGCTCTTGGTGAGGAACTCTGTCTCGCTCGCCTTGATGACATCCTGGACGTCCGGGTGGGACGGCTGGGTCCAATGGGGCGTAAGTGGTGCCATTGTGAGAACTTCGGGTCGAGGTTGGCGATGTCGCGGTCGTAGTCGTAGTCGTAGTCGTCGTCTCGTCTAGATACTGGACAGGGTGTGGTTGGACTTGTTCCTTTACGCTGGGTCAGCTTGCTGTCACATGTTGAAAGCCGAAGGGAGTTAGACTAACGTGGGGTGTAGGATCCGAATTGTGGGAATTGAACAGGAAATGAGAAAGGATCACTCGTTAGAGTTGATGTGTGGTACAGATATTACAGGCAAAAAAGAGGTTTGGTATTTGGGAAGTATGGGGGGAAGGACGAGTGAGAGGTGACGAGAGGTTAGAGAAGAGAGAGGCCAAAGTTCAGGCCGAAGTAACCGTATGGAATACCCTCACCTCTTGTACAAGAGGAGGGGTAAACCATCTGACACCAACATGTGCCGAGCTGTTCCACGGATGTCCTAGGTTGTCCAAGATTGTCCAAGGTGTCACAGGCAGCTAGCTGTCTTGCCGCTGTAGCCAGTTAGGAAGCTCAATTGTCTTGGATCGCACATATTGTCGCCCGCCTCACATGCATTTCCTTTTGTGCATTCCAATTGCGGGGGACTGTCGTTCCGCAAATGCTTCTGCAGGCAAGTGTTGCGGGGCAATGGATGGATGATGAGAGAAGCCAATTCAGCAAGTGCATATTCGTAGGTAACACTTGTGAAATCCCGTCCAAACAATGCAGGCCGTCCCCGGCGCCCGTCCGGTTGCTGCGGTAAAATAGAGGCTCATCCACCGCCTGGCCAATGGCTGGAGCTCCGCCGACGAATCCGGTCAAAGACGGTCTCTCCTGAGCCCCTGGCGATGCAGAAAGAGTACGAAATACATGGATCGGCTAGTCTATGACTAGTCTAGCTGCAAGTCATGATACAGGGCCGGTACGGGGTGGCTTGGAGGTCGGGGGTTCACCGTTCGTCTCTCCCTCTCAACTCTGCATAGGTGGTGAGGTTGAGGGTGCTCGGAGTACCCCTCATTTGCGCGTCTCTGCCCCTCTTTTGACAGACGGTCGACGGCTTTCTGGCGTGGACAAAGCCCAAGCTCTGGCACCCTAGGATTCTTCGAAAGGGTTCCAGTGTGGGGGTTTGGGGGGGTTTGGGGGGGGGGGGGGGGGGTTTCGTTCCGGCTTGCCACAGCCGGCCCAGCCCCTATTATTCTCCTCCTTGTTCCTCGGTGCTTTCGCCCGATGACCGAGGCTGAGGCGTGGGTATCGTTGATGATGACTCTGGGGGTGCGTAATGCGGCGTTCCTCACGCTCTACACTAGAAATCAGTAAAGATATGGATACATACCTATACCCATACATTTGCTGTTCTGGGACCGGGGAATGTTGAACCCAACTCGCTGTAAAACTTAACCGTAGCATCTTCGTTGGTAGAGACCTGGGCTGTTTTTGACTTTGTCTGACCGTTGATGTCACTCCCGCATGTCCGTTCGTTTACGTCAGTCTTTCGGTCTTGGGTGTCTCTGGTTCACCATCAACAAGGCAAGGTTGAGAGTGTCCAATGTTGTCCGGTCGACGTTGTGTTCACGTCGGTTGAAAAGCTCCGGACGAGCAGTTCGGCGATGGAAGGAGCGCTTCTTGATCTCGGTCTAAGCTCCCGCAACTTTCTCGAGGCTGCTGGCGAGGTTGTCCTCAATTCCTCTGGTGATGCTCTGTGGCTGCGACTTTGTCAGCAATCTCCATGAATAAATGGCCCAACTCAGGGATTAAACGCCAAACACATGCGACGGTTGCAAACGTCCATTGCTCGGGCCGCCCTGACATCCCGCGCTCGCATGCCTCAATGGCACGGCCGCTTATTGTTGATCAGCCACAATCATCAGACTGCAGCTTGTTTCCCCCCTAATTGGGCTGATGTCATACGGAAGGAGAGTTCTTCTTGTGCCACATTTCAGATGGTGTGATCGGTTCGGAGGCTTCCGTCGGATATTCCACATTCCTGAAAATGCACAGAAATGAAGGCAGGACGTGACAGCCATGGTCGGGAGGCCTGCGACGCTCACGGGCGGCCTGTGGCCGGGCCTAGCTACCGGAACGGGGCCGCGGGTTGTGGCTCTCGGACCAACTTCCGGATGCAAGACCCGCCGCATCGGTTCAGGTCCTACTGCAGCAAGGGACACGCGATATTCCACCCTTTGCCTTACACTACACAACCCCAGACGAGTCTCGAACAATGGGTGGCCCCGGTCAACTTTTCGCTTTCTCGAGATCTCAGGCTGAGTGAGCCCATGTCTTCATGTTGAGGCAGTTGTCATCCTTTCCACGGGCCGCTCAGTCCCAGCTAGGATCCCTGTCACCGTTTTCCACGACCCTGTCGTTTCAGGACGCAAAAGCTTGGTGACAAGCTCCAGTCGAGGGGCAGCAATGGCGACCAAGAAAGCTCAGTGTTGCGGGAAACAACCTGTCAAAGCCGTACAATCCTGACCAATTTCCGGAACTGCCCTCCGTCCTTCGAGACCTTCCCTGTCGAAGCCCAATGTGCGAGGACCCCGCACAAGTCGATCTGCCGCTCACCGAACGAACCCAACCAACCTTGACGGCTAGGCCGGGACGTTTGGCTTCGATGCCCTTGTTGAACAGAAATTTTGCCAATCTGCTTGTTGCTGGCGATAGGATGACCACGGAGATAGCACACACATAGCCTCTGTACGCGACAACACTCACGCCGACACGCCACCCGAACTGCCCTGTATGTCTTGTGTCCTGCTATCTCCCAATATTTGGTCTCGTGTTTTGTCATCATCGTCAGCTGGACGGGCCAAGCAGGGTCTGTATCCCTGCCCCTGCCCATGATTTTCCGTGATATTTCCCTGGTATATAAAAAGAAAGTGTGACAGAGGAGAGCCTGTGCGCCATCGGTAGACTTCAGGACGGGCCTGCCATATCGGCAGAACACTGAGGGGCTTCCTGGGAGGCGCCCGTTGCCGCCGCCCGTCGATGCGCGTTCTGCTCGTTCTTCCTTCCGTTGATCAAACTATCAAGGGGTTTCATTGCTGAAAGCCACGTGCTCCTCCTTCGGCAAACACTCCTATAGGAGAACCAAGAGCACGCACTCATGTCCCTGTCTTTGAGTCACCTGGTAGGTCCTCGAATGAGCCTATGTGCTCCGCAGCCAATCCCTCCCGCCGCTCGAGCGTCTTTGGCTGATGAGGGTGGGGTGGGGTGCCATAGCAAGGCGAGGCAGGCCCCGAAGGAAGCTTTTAAAAACATGTAAATTGTCGGGTGTCCGTCTGTTTTCTTGAGTCTCTTCCAGCTCGTTTTCTGAGATTATGATCATTCAGATTTTATCTCTCTGAATCGCCGCCGGTCCATCTCTTATTCAACTTCTTTGCCTCGTTTGGCCAGCTGTACTTGATCTAGTACACGTTAGCAGTCTGCCAACAGAACGATTTGATCAGGAATTCTTAGCACGAGGATTGTGCCGTTGTGTCCAGCAAATCGACAGGAAGATGCAATCGACCTTGGCCTTTTCTCTCCTGGAAGAGAATAACAAGCCGCATCCCAAACCTCAGCCTGACCCTCCAGTCCCTGTCCCCGATAACCCAGATGACCGGCGGCGATCCTGAAGCTGGACCAACACCCGAACTTTGGACATCAAGAGCGTATATTCGAAAACCTTCACTCGCGTGGTGATCAGCTTCTATCTCAATGTTTTGGTAGACGACAACAGTTGTCCTTCATCGCCGAGGAGTTCGAGCAGCAATGCATGCCTAGGAGCCGAGAAGGCTCGGAACGGTTACGTCGTAATTCCACGGTACAGACAGTCTCGTAAATGTGTATCAGGACTCTGGTTCGAGGGCCACTCGCATCGCAAGCTTTTCCCTCCTCTGTCGAGAGGTCGTGATGTGCGCCCATAAGGAGTTTTAGCGGTGGGCATCGAGCTCGCTATAGCATTGCCAAGCTATATTCAGATGCCTCAGATTGGGAAGAATGTCGACAGGCTTGTTGGGTGTCAACGGAGGCTCTGCGACCATTTCTTTGGAATGGAGGTTTGACGGAATTCGTGGGCCTCGGAAGTGTCGAAGCTTGGCTTCTCCTGCCACGTTGAGGTGCGGTTCAATATTGTAAAGCTTCAATGGACCCGGAGTAGTATTTCTTTTTTGCTGGATATTTAAAGGAACGACGTTCAGGGTTAATGGATCAAATGAGTCGGGAGAATGGGGAAGGTGGTAGGAGAAAACACGAAGGTACCTTGCCTTAGGCTTTCACACATGACAGAAATCGAGAAGGACAGTGCTGTGTCCCAAAGCAACGTTGTGATATCATGGTACTTGTTACTTCCTCGCATCCACAACTTTTTACGATACATGAAGCTTCATGGGAATCATTTCCCCATCGATTCACACTGCTGAGAACTCGCCTTTGACTTGGACTTGCAGTCAGCTTACCTGGCACACTAAAGAGCAACAAAGGATATTCAACTAGTGAGACGGAAAGTAAGGTAGGTTTTTGAGACCACGATAAGGGAATGATGGTAAGAGATTCAGGATAGAATAGGTGAGTAAAGAATGAAAGATATTGGTGGTGTAGGATTGCTGTCCTCAAAGTGAGAAGAAGGCATCGCTTATGGCTTTCTTACCTCATGGGATAGGATATGACGACCTTTCTTATAGAAACTCTCATCGGTTGCTTCTCGTGGCCTGTATTGTATCATATTGAATTGGCGTGGCATGTGTATTGTTTCTCTGAAAGAGCATTATCCAGTCTCACATACTGAGGGACGAGTAGAATTATTGGTCTCGAAGTTTGTGGTTCTTTCACTGGAAGTATTATCATCTCTGGAGAAAAGTCCTTCCTCAAATATTTTTCGATGAGAGGCAAGTTGTGTTGCACCTTCCCTCACACCGCTACCTACCTGAGCGACCGCCTTCCTTCCGACTCATTGCCCCCGGAGGACCGGCACCTTGCCTCGCACTTGCCTATCGAGACTTTCTTCACACCTTCCGTCAAATTAACCGACCCATCCAACCCAAGGCCCTTCTTTCTTTCCAACACTTCACTTGAAGTCTCTTTTCTTCCCCCCACAACATCACTCGGTCGATCCTCAATCCTCCCACCGTCAAACCACACAATCCAAGCTCACCATCGCCAACCCAGCTTCACTTTGCTTTGGTGTCCAACTTTTGGAACTCTACCGACTCACCTCCAGCACCAACTCCTCGTGCAGCACTCATTCCTGCAGGGTTGGTCTTGTTGAAATCGCCTAGCAGATTCTTATATTGCATATCAGCCCTCACCAAGCTTGTCGACCTGCTATTTCGCCTCGGTGACTCTGGTAAGTGCTTTTGTTCACAACACTGTTTCTGTTCTTGGTTTTGGTTTTGGTCGACTTCCCTTTCCGAGTCTCCCACTGCCCAGGCGAGCGACTTTGACGCAAGTTTGAACTGCTTCACCACTGCCGACTAGTCACTCTTCGAGTGCTGTCAACCGCCGCCTTGAGCAGCGACTGACACGGCATTCTTGAATTTTGGGATCAGCCTTTACGGGGAGCCGCGCAGTGCCAAATAATTTTCTTACATCCGGCTACATCATTTTCTGCATTCCATCGGCATCAGGCTAACTGTACCTCAATAGTGAACGACCCGCACTTGCTCCAAGCTCCCAGTCTGCTTGATATGCTCGTGGAGACCCTTCCAATGGAATCGACTCATTACAGCATCAGCCAGCTCTTGGCCATCCGTGGCACCAAGCTGCAATACTTGCTCGAGCAGAAATTGCTTGAGAATGCCAAAGAGAATCCCATCCTGAGTATGCCCATCCTCCCCTTTCTGGTCTTTCAGGCCTATGACAGTGCTAACCTTTTTCACAGCAGGCATCATTCGTCACAAGCGACCCTTTGTCCCCCAGAGAGCTCCTCTAGTTTCTCGTGCCAACATGGAAGTCAGACAGTCCTCTTCTGGAGACTCGGAGTTTCAAGCACCGGCTAAGCTTCAGGCACCTCAAGTCCTTGCTCCCCTCCACGACAAACCTGTTCGTACCCTTCGTCATATCACTGCAGACGTCAGTCAGCTTGATGGACACTCTGGTCCACAGCTCGATGGACAAGATGCCGAACCCGAACATCAGCCCGAGTTGCCTTCTCAGCGATCTGTCCTCCCTGATCAGAAGCGTAAGGGGTTTGAGCAATTCTACGAAGCTGTCCGATCTCCCACCCACGTCCGCGTCACTGCTGGAGGCAGAATCGTCCCCAATACCCTCGATGCCTCCCACTCTTCTCCGACTGGAAAGAGCATCAGAGAGAGAACCAACATCGACATCAATGGCGTACAGTCTCCCATGGGACAAGCCTTCAACGGCCAGTTCATGCCAGGGACCCCGCTGATGGGCCCTATTCATTCTGCCATGCAATCTACCTTCCCAATGATGGCACCAGGCCCGAACCCCATGGTTTCTTTCGGTGGATTTGCGATGCCCCCTTTCGGCGTTCCCCAGGCTCCAACACAAGCACAGTTTGCCCCTCTGAATAGCGGCATGATTGCTGTCGGTAATTCGAATGAGAAGAAGGATCCGAATAGTGGCGTCATCCCTAACACTGGAGCTATGCCCATGCCTCCATTTGGTGGACAATGGTTCCTGCCACCTCATCCAATGATGCCCATGGGCATGCAATACACTGGTGGTCCAACGTACCCTGGTGCTCCAATGATGCCGATGGGGTTTGGTCCAGTGGGTCAGCCGATGGGCCAGCCCATGATGTACCAGCAACCTCCTCAGTCTATGCCTACGGCTGGCGCCAGACCCTTCACACCGAATGTGCCAGCCGAGAGCTGCCCAGTTTCATCGATTCGGCCTAGCATCATCACCAAGAACCAGCTTGCAGGCCTGAGATCTAGCCTCAAGAAAGCAGAGGCTCAGTTGGCTTACAATCGCCATCAGATTGACGAGAAGCACATGGAAGAGTACGCTCGTCAGCTCCGTTCCGATATCGAGCACTTTGAGATCAAGCTCAAGGGTGAACTCGCACTCGAGGACAACACTCTTTCTCAACGCAGCGACGCAAAGGACGTTAGCGAGGCCAAGACATCAAAGGAGTCAAAGCCGACCGCTGCCGAGTCTCGAAAGACGCTTATGTCTGTCTCGTCGGGCGATGCAGATATTAAGAACGTCCCAGTCCACAACAGCCGTTCGAATGTGACTGAGGAGCCCAAGAACCCTCGTCATCGTAAGAGGGACAGACTCAAGCTTGCCGTGGACACTTCGGCGGCATCTGCTCCTTACATCAACTCCACCGTGTTCGCGACCATCTCGCCTGTTCCCTTCGACCCGACGGGACAGAATCAGACCAGAGATTCAGACTCACTTCACTTCCGTAAACAATCTACTGGTCTTCCCGTGTCTGCTGCCTTAGCGCCGGTCTTCCAGCCTCGTTCTGACCTTCGCCGTCCTAACGAGAATACTCCTCCAGTCTCAGCTGTGCCCAAGGCAGGAAAAGAGACAGGTGACAAAGTCTTCCATGGTATCCTGCGGAGAAATCAGGAAGCGTCTGATCGTCTTTTCTCAGGTGGCCCTCCGACGCCCGATCTTGACGAGCAGCTCGCCGAGTTGAATCGTGAGAATCCTGTCCTGGGAATGGCGTACCTGGTTGGCCAAGTGCCTTTCGGCATGGACCCTAGTCCTGACATCAGAGATTACGTCTACCACCGTCCTCTCAACCAGGACGAGGAGATGGCCAAGCATCTCTACTGGAGCAATGCCCCTTCGCATCTGCGGGCCAACTTTCCCTTCTTCGATGGCAGGAGCTTCTGGCTGTCGTCGCCTGAGAAGGCGCCTCGTTGCGTCGTCAGCGATGAACGCGTTGCTGGACGGCTCGAAGAGGAGTATCGCCTCGCGATAAAGGGAGACAAGAATCCTTTCGCCGCCTTGGAGAGATTGACCGGCCCAAACATGGAGCAAGCAGTGAAGGATTTGAAGAGAGACACCAAGTCAGACAATGTCACTTCGCCCATGAAGCGTCGCTACAAGTCACGTCCTGTTGCCCACTTCAACAGCCAAGGCCTTCACAAGTCGAAGGACAGCACAATCTCGTCCGACAATGTCGTCAAGTCCGACTCCGAGAAAGCCTACTTCAACTCGTGGTCAGTCTCAATCTTCACCAAACTTCATGCATCATACTTACTAACTTGACAGCAGCGTTCGTACGTGGTCGGAGAAGGTCACTGCATCTGCGACTGCTCTTCCGGGAGCTGTCACTTCAGAGAATGCCCAAGGCTATGTTCCTCAGTATGCTATCGGCCATGCCGCAGCCTCCTTGTCGCCCGCCATCGCCAACGCTGCAAACCAGTCCACCCGATTGTCGCCATCCAAGCTGGATGATAACGGCAAATCGGATACGAGTCAGAGCTTGCTTGTCGCATCAGCTGATGTTCGCGTTGAGAACCAGCCTCCTGGTCTTTCCATCGTGAGTAGCGTCTATTGGGCTGGCAATGGTGGTGAAGCTGATGCAAAATTATAGCGGATCAAGTGAAGCATCTCAGTCGCAACGCCATTGGCATCTACTTACTCTGTTATGACTACGAAAACGCGTTCCAAACACTTGTACGAATTATTTTGAGTGCTATGGCGGCTTCCGATATCAATGCATTGATTTCGAGTATTCGGGACCCGCCGGCGTTATATTCTAAAGAAGTGGTTCTCGATACACAGATTATGCATCTCGTCCTTGTTACTGCACTGTCTCTAGGAAGGTGGAGGATTGAGAGCATGGTTCATGGAGACGGAATTAGTTAGGTTACGTTAGCATTAATGATCCCAGTTTACACATGATCGTGTTCAGCTTGGGCGGACGATGCAACATTATGTGATGTAATGTGTGATGCCGAAGCATTCTTGATATATTGACTGATTGCTAGCTGAGAGAAAAAGCTGAACAGAAGGAGATATTATGTATCTCACCATCAAATCTCCAGCCTCATGCAAAAGCTCAGTGAAAATCTTCGGGCGAGTGGGAGAGGTGGTGATTCCAGTTGGAAAAGCCTCTCCCGGGGGTTTTTCTTCGCCAGTCGTATACCTCGAAAACCATGGACTCAGTGGTTGACGCGGAGATATCCTAGCGGGGATTGTGTGCATAGTCACATAGTAAACTTACCGTTCAAGAACGTTCCATATTTCATGTAGAAGAACTCGTATTCTTGTCAGTCAACAGCAGCAGACAGGTTAGCACGGTCACGGTGTGATGTAGCAATAGTCATCACCGCCTCCGCATAGCGGAAGGGGACGGTGGTGGCTTCGGGAGGACCTCCCATGGAGCATCTCACGGGTTTGAAGACGTGAGGTGGCCATTGAGAAACGAAATTTCTCGATTCCATTTTCTAGAACTTTTTGTTGCCCTTAGCCTTAATTTTCCCTCGCGTTCTTTTTGTTTTCCCTTTCCAGGCGAAAACAGTGAAATGTTTTCGCCATTGCCAAAACGCGTCAAAGGTCCTGTCGTGAAAAACGCCGTCGAAGATGTGGATATCGTTTGTCGTGACCCCCCGCCGCCGCCGTTTTTGTGATGTTGAGTTTGTACCGGTTCCCTTGAACTGCCGCTTTTGGATTTTTGGTCGTCTAGCTCCTCCAACTCGTTATGAGTGAAGACTTGAGAGTGACATCAAGCCCCCGTCACTTGAAGAAGGAGAAGGGGAGTCATGGTTGGTATGACGAATTGAGACCGAGTATTGTGGATTGAGAGAAAAAGATTTAGGCGGTAGCCTTGGACTTGACGCGGAGCTCGCGGCCGACCTTGATGCGCTCAAGGATGGACTCGCGGTCCTTGTCGAGCTTGAGCTTGTTGATGACGACGTTGGAGGGGTGGATGCCGAGGGGGACGGACTGGCCCGAGGTCTTCTCGCGGGTGACGCGCTCGACGTGGATGACGTACTTGAGGCGGTAGACGGAGGTGACCTTGCCCTCGCGGCCCTTGTTGGCGCCACGGACGATGGTGACCTCATCGTCCTTGCGGACGGGGATGGAGCGGACCTTTCGGAGAGTTAGATTACTGATTCTTGCTATGGAAGCATTTCTCTGAGTTGGAGGGAACGTACGTTGTACTTCTCACGGAGCTCCTTGGAGAGAGGGGCGCTCATGATCACACGGCGCTCGCTGGAGGGGGCCTTGAAGTGAGCCGCGCGCGACTTGCGGCGGGAGGCGGAGATGTCTAATTTTCACACATAAAGTCAGCATTCCATCTCAATTGCAATCATGGGCGTCAAGAAGTCTACTCACTCTGGTTAACCTTGGTCATCTTGGCGTTAGTACGAACGGCGTTTGGTTGGAAAGGGAATTCGGTAAGATTAGGCGTCGCTGGGAAAATCAAGAAAGTTCAAAAACACCTCCAACGAAAAAAGGTTTTGGCAAGATGGGGGTGGTGTGGCCGTTGTGGGCTGCAAACTTGGTGATGAGCACGTGACTTAGGTCTGAGGTACAGGCAAATCGCCTGCTGGTCCAAGCTCCTGGTGGAATTGGTGTACCATTGGCCTGGAGAGGAAAAAAGTTCAATGGCCGGACTTGGAGCTCGATCGGCCGAGACCGGGATCCTCTACTGATAAGATAAGGTGAATTTCTGGAGGGCCAAGAGAGGCATCCCTCGTGTTACCTTATGTACAAGGTACTCCGGATTCTGCTGAAGGCAAAGGTAGAGCTGGAATCGCAAAAGAAACTTGCAGCGAAAAGCAAAAGGCAGAGTCAGGCTCGAAGCTTTACGGTTCAGCGAAATTAAGCATGACCAGGAATGAGGGCTATTGACCACTTGAGCTTCCCGCCACTTTGCCTTCAATCGACGACTATAGGGAACAATCTGATAATTGTATTCCAATCCAAGCAAAGAAATGAGCAAGAGGATCTGATTTTCCTCTCACTCCTGGGTGATATCAAGACTTGCCAGTGTGTTTACTACACATAGGTCTTGTTTATTACATAGGTACTTCTGAGCGTGGATATTTTAAATATCTCGCTCTCCAAATTCACTTTGTTACATATTCATAACCAAGAAGGAGGCACTTGTGAAGAACGATCATGGTACGGTATATCTATATGCCGCCTTTGCCACATTCATCAGATTACAATAGCCCTTTCCAACGCCTGGTGGTATACTCTTCCCCTCCCCAATGGGATATACAGTAGTAGTTGAACAAGCTTGACCATCGAGGTCTAGAGGGGTCTTTTATACAAGTTGGAGTTTGAGGTAGAACACGTCGGAGTGGGGAATATGGTACACTGAGCGTGTCGTTCGCGTTTCGTGACAATATGCTCCATCTAGTTGCTGGCAAACGGCGTAGGCGCCTTGAACTTGCCATTGTCGTCATACTTGGCCTCTGTTACGCACCGTCAGCAATCCATCACCTACTCTCCTCCTTCCGCATTGTCTCGAGGAGGATGACAGAAGAGAAGAAGCGAGTGAAACTTACTGAAGAACGTGTAATTCAACGTCACAGTCTCAATACCACGCATATTGACATCGTTCACAATATCCGGATCCAAATAGAAAAACACGGGCATATCCACTGTCTCGCCCGCATTCAACCGCTGCTCCTCAAAGCAGAAACACTGAATCTTGCTGAAATACGGCGCCACCTGGCCCGGCGTGACGCTGTAGGTCGCGACCCCGATGATGTCCTGGTCCGAGTTGTTCGTCGCCGTGTAAAAAGCCAGAGCCGTCTCGCCGGGGAGGACGCGCACCTCGCGCTGCTGCGGGGTGAACTTCCAGGGGAGAATGTCCGAGACGGACGAGTTGAATGTGACGCGGATGCGAGGGGCCGTGGTGACAGGTACCAGGCGCGCGGCGAGGCCGTCTTCGCTGTAGTCTACGTCGGGTCCGTGGGCGCGGACGGGTTGGCCGCCCCAGCCTGTTGTTTGGCAGATCTGTTGAGGGGGTTGATGAGTTAGTTGTCTGCAATGTTTCCCCTCCTCGCATTGAGCGGTTGCTGGGTCGGGAGGTAGAAAGGGCGCACCATCTTGTAGAGAGGGACGGAGCCGTATGACAGGGCAACTGTCCCGAGAATGACACTGAGTGTATAGTACCTGGTCACAAAAGCACCTTAGCCCAAGGTTCCTCTTCAACTCTCGACCCCAATTGCTCTCTTACGCTGTAGTGGCATTCTTGCGTTTATAATGCGCATGGATCTGCTCCATTGACGGCGCGCCGCCAAAGCTGGGCCCGGTCTGCTGCTGCTGCTGCTTCGGTGAAGGCGTCGTCGATGCCGCTCGGCGGCCGGCCGAGGGCGTTCGCAAGCTGCGCGGCGCGGGACGGATGGCGTGTTGGCAGAAGAAGCAGCTCCATTTCTGTGTCGACTGTGACGATGCGCGCCACGGGAGGCGCGGGAGGGCGTTCATGGTCGCGAACAGGGCGAAGGTTGAGGATGAGGGTGAGATTGTTGCCGGGAACGTTGCGCCGAATCGTTCGACGATGTCATGCCATTTCGCATCTCATCGGGATTTGGGGACCGACCTAGCTCTAGCTTGGTGGCATCGGACGGTCACCGAGAGGCCGGGGCGGGCGGGGTGGTTGTTCCGCCCCGGGGCACCAGCTTGCTGGGTTATAGGAGTCTATGCGCTGGGATTATACTCTAATCCCCGCTGAAGAGTTCCTGGCCAACAAGGATAATGCACTTCGATGCCCTGAGGAATTCCAACGTCAATGGCAACCCAACTGACGGATGCTGTAGTCCATGGTTTCTATCCGTAAGGTAGATGGGTAGGTAGTATTAAATGTTTTTGTTGATTATGTACTATCATTTACACCGACTTGATGCTGTTCATTTCGTCAAGCCATGCGAAGCAGTCCAACGCCAACTACCATTACGCCGGTTCAAGCAGCTTTGCCACTCTTCAAAGATCTCCTCCACCCATTTCTACGACCGTAAATTACAGTCCCAGCTACACCTGCCGCTCTCTCCAGTACTCTAATGACAAACACCTGAATTAGAAGGATGACGAGTCGTACGAGCAAGTCGGCAAGTCCCAGAGATGGCTTCCTTCCACGGCTGTACGTAGAGTCAACAAATTGGAATGGAAGTTTAGCATAAAGGTGATCCTGTGCGGCATGGAGTCCACTGCTGAAGCCATCCTCGTGGAAGCCGTATTTTGTCCAGGCACCTGCGTAACTGATGCCTCTTTTGTTCTGGATGCGCGGAAGAAGCTTCTGTGCGCGGACCGCAGCAGGTGTGTAGAGAGGATGCCGGTACGTGAATGACCCCTGTATCGTGTCTGGGTTCGGCTGGTGCAAGGGGTTCATTGTGACGAGGACGTCTCCGAAGGTCTCGCGGGGGATGTGCTGGATGATGTTCATGTTGTAGGTTAAAGAAACCTGGTCAATGTTTTGCTTGCCGGTAGAGGGTGATGAGAGGGTTAGGTAATTCCAACTAGACCATGCCTTCTCAGATGCCGGCATGTGTGAGATGTCGGAGTGGAGGATAACCGAGTTCTCAGATGTCTGAAATGCGGAGAGAATCTCCTTCTCCTCGGGCGTGGCTGATCCCTCGATAATTCTCAAGGCCTGGTCTCCGTGCGTCGCCAGTATAACATGGTCGTAGACGTCAGATTTGCCATTGTGAGTATGAACACGAACTCTGCCGTCCTCCTCGCTGGTGACCTGCGTAACTTGGGTGTTAAGGAAGAGGTGATTTGACGGGAATCCGCTCATGACAGCATCAATGTAGGATTTGCCGCACTTCTTCAATGTGAGCCACTCCGGTCTTGTCGCAACAGTTGACAGGAGGTGATGATTCCACCTGGTGTCCATTAGTACTGCACTCCGCTTGTGGATAATGACACTTACATGAAGCGAACCAAGGTGACGGCCGGGAAGTTCAGTGTGCACTTATCCGGGCTGGTGCTCCATACGGCGGCAGTCATGGGGATCAGGTAGTCGTCTCTGAAGGCATCCGAGTAGCCTTCTCTTTCGAGGTACTCGCCGATCGTTTCCTCTCTCTTGCCCCCTTTGCTGTACCCATTCATTGCAGCAGCATCGTTCTCATCCTCTGCCATCAACAGGTCCAGTGCAAATTGATTGAAACGAATGATGTCGAAGATCATCCTCCACATCCGCGGCGAGAAGATATTTTGTCTTTGAGCGAAGATGGAATCTAGACTTTTACCAGCCCATTCGAACAAGCCATGGTCTCGAGTGACGCCAAATGTCATCTCGGTTGGTACCGTATCGACCTTGACCCTCTTCAAGAAGTTGATGAAGTTTGCTGAATGTCATGTAAGTCAGACGCTCATGATGGCTGGTTTAGAAAACCTACGATATGTGGCGGTATTGAGGACGATGAAGCCTGTGTCGACGCGGGTTTCATATTTCCCATTCTTCCAGGTCACCGTATTCGTGTGCCCGCCTAGCCTCGATGAGGCCTCATACATATAAACATCATGGTAGCTTCGGTTGAGTGCCCACAGAGCCGCGATGCCTGCGGATCCACTGCCGACGACGGCAACCTTCTTCCTAAATCTTGGGTCAATGGGAGAGCCCACGGAGGCGCGAGAGCCTATTGATTCCAGCGACGGTGGTCGTCGAGACATTGTGCAAAAGATACGAGGAGGAATGGAAGGATATGTGAGGCTTGTGGATTTTCTTTGAACAAAGCCACTGGACGTCTGTCGCGCGAGCGCGCAGGTTGCAATGCTACAGTGGCATATAAAGATGCGGCAGGAAGAATTGGGGAGGCCGGTAACAGCTTTCTATCTTGGATGGAATGACGGCGGGCAGGAGAGGGGAATTTTCAGACGCAAGCCACGGACGACAATTGGGGGAAAGAGAACAATGGTTCGCACATGCTTCCAGCAAGCCAAACTCACACCTTGTCTCTGTGTCACTGTGACTGACACCCCGCCCCAGGTTCGGGGGGATGGGAGCTCAAAGTCTCAAGTCTGCGGAGGCAACATCGGTACGCAAGTAGGGTACATCTGCGTCTGTAGCACCACCACCACTTGGCTGGGCTGGGCTCCGGACCAATGCGCTTACTAGTGCTGCAACTCATGCAGCTGAAGGGATGGAACGGATTCAAACAAGTAGCGGTCTTTGGGGTAGTGATGGTGGAAGCAGCAGGAGCTGTGTGTGTGCGTACCATACGAGGTATGTGTGTGTGTGTGTGTGTAGGGATGAATGCGGTGCGTACTCCGTAGGCCGAGAGCGAAAGAAACCAGAGCTCAGTGAGACAAGCGGAGAAGCAAAACGTACAGCGGCTGACCTGGCGGCATCTTGGCCTCTGATTCTTGTTTCTGAGGGTTCGATGGGAGTCTGGTGGAGTCTCTTGGGAGAGGACGCTCAGCTCTGGAGCAAGCAATGATCGACACGTGGCTGCCAGTAGCAAGGGCTGGGAATAGATAATGCGAGGCACAGAAGGTAAGGTATCAGAGGCGGAGGTTGAGCAGAGAGGACCCTTTCGAAACTTTGAGATAAGTTGCTGGTGCGGATTAGTGACAAGAAGGAAGGGAAAGAAAAGGTGAGACGGGTACGGAAAGACGTCGGCAGGTGTTCGGCCGGCTGATCACGATGCGATGAAACGAAACTCAGCTCTTGCCGGAGTTCCCACGCGCAATGACGCCTGCATTGGGACACCCCTGCACCTGATCCTTCTGCGTCCCAGCTCTTTCCCCAGCCCCCCTTGTCTTGCCGAACTTCAACTATCGCTCGATGGTTCACGATCCAAGACGCCACAAGTGGCTGGCCAGACATCTTTTTTCCGAAAAGAGGCTGAATATTCGAGACGACAGCTGCAGATCCAGCTTTCAGAATTTATCGGTTTGATGGTTTAGACGCTTGACGTGGATGAACGCAGGTTCGTGGATAGCGAAATATGGCGACAACAGACGAGAAGGCAGCTCTCAACTTGCCGTTCATCAGCGCAGTCATTTTGCGTAAAGTACATTACGGAAGTTCGCGATGAAGCATTCCATCGCTCTTGCCTTGGAAGCCAACATGACTTCTTTTTCCCTCCAGCCGCACTCCAGCCGGTGGCGAAAAGCCGACATATGTTTGACCATCAGAGCTGATCTCCTTGTCTCGAAGCGATGGACTCTCGTCAAGATGCGTGCACACGTTCACAAGCGGAAAAATGAGACATGGAAGTTCTGCGCACAACACGTTTGAGACTTCTTCCTCACTGCCAGAGACAAGCTCCAGCAAGCAATGAAAAAGAGAAAAAAGGCCTGTCAGACGTCCATCGACACCCACCCTGACCGTGCGCCCAAGGGCAAGACCACAGTCAGGGACGAGATCATCACCGCTCTCTATACAACAACAGACAACCGAAATTGTCAAGAAGCCGCCCTCATTACGGAGAGTGCGAGAGCAACCAGAGTTCTTCACTCTAGGGTGTCGAGGATATCAATCATCAACCAGGGTGGGATCTGTAGCTCCTTTAGGGAACCAAGAGTAGGTCGAATACTATAGAAATGATTCTCTGAAGTATTGTCGACATGAAGAAAAAAGAAGAAGAAAAGTCTAAGATTGGCGGTGGAAGGTCGCCCTTATATAGAGTTCCTGAGCGACTGGCCTGGACGCTCGGGCCATGGGCGGTTTGAGTGGGTTTTGGTGGGCTTTGCTGCCTGCGGTGGGCGACGACTGCTGAAATTTTTCGACAAATGGCTGGTCACCGCCCAGGAAATTTGCGATTTTGCCGCTTTTCGACGAGAAATCTTTTTGCGGGAAGGAACTTCCTTCCGCATCTTATGGGCACTGCGCAACAAGGGTATACGAGCAGAGGTTTCGCACATTTTGCCGTGAAGGAGGTATTTCCACACAGCTTCAGCCATTCAAAAATCCATGGATTTCATTCTGCGAAGGCGTGATAGACATAGGATTCTGCCTTGCGGCACCTCAGTTCAAGATATGCCGAACTGCCTCGCGGATAGTCTTTCGGCGGCCATTGCTGACACGCCGCTTACGCATATATCTGGGTAAGCCGTAGGGAAAGGCAAAGCCATCAACATCCAAGTATCCTTCATGTGGATTTATGGACATGCTTGAGCCGCATAGCATCTGATAGGTGAATCCTTCTGTGGGATTCTCCGTACACTCCGAACGAAGGTACAATATTTTCACGAGCACTTCAAAAGTGCAGTGCGCAGAGATTTAACGCAGGCCAAAGCGTGCAACCAAAGGCAAGCGCCATTTCATATCAAGATATCACAAGGCCAAGGGTAGACTACGAAAGTATGTCGAACACTCAACGGGATCGGAAAACGGTAGTACGAGTCCCCAATTCTTAAAAGCGCCGTGACAATTTTTCAACTGCCATTAGTCTACCCGGCTTAAGTTCAACTCCACGTCCAAGTACGAGAGACACATAAATGCATTTCTAGACTGGCGACGCGGAGCCGGTTTCTTCTAGAGCCGGGGGTTCAACTTTGAAGAAGAAAAAGAAGGAAAAGGAAATGAAGTTTGCGCCGACCTAGGTCTAATAAAAAGACCTGGCCGGCGGGCGGGGACGGGTAAGGCGGGCGCTTGGGCCGCCCATATCACGTGTATCCTCATTGAAATTGCTGTTCTACCTTACTGTGACACATTTGCTGAGGTAAGGCACCTTAATGAGCAGGTGTCCACTCAAAGGTCCAGTGGCTGGAGCCTAACATCTCGTCGCACCCAATTGGTGCACCAGCCACTCGGGAGGAATGATGTCGCCAGGGCCGGTCCTGACTTACGCATACACCATGCGACCAAGTACATTCATCAAGACCAGCAATCCACTCGCCCTTGACCGTTTTCGGCACTGATCCAACTACCACCCCGACGAACCCGCAGTGACGACCATCAATCCTGTGATACCTAAACGAAGCCAAACGAACACCGCTCGCCCATAACCTTCTGAACAAGGAGGCCCCCTCTCCATCCTCTCACTCCATCCCTTTTCGCCCTACCAAAGGCAAAGGTCACCACGACATCTTTCGCCATCTTCTAAACCACCCGACGAACGACGACCTATCCGCCACCATGTCCAACCCACTCGAAACCGAGCCCGGCTCCGAGCGCTTCGGCGACTACGAAGCAGAGCTGAAGCTCGTCCAAGCCGACCTCGTCCAGAAACTCGACCAGATCCCCGAACTCTCAGGCGAGCCCCGCAAAGCCGCCCTCTCCTCCGCCGAGCGCGCCCTCGAAGAGGCCGACGAGCTCCTCGCCCAGATGCGCCTCGAAAAGGCAAACATCCCCACCACCCTCCGCTCCAAGATCAACGCCCGCTTCCGCAACCACGAGTCCGACATTGACGCCCATAAGCGCAAGCTGCGCTCCCTCGCCGACGACCGCGCCGCCCTTTTTGGCGCGCGCTACACCGACAACCCCTCGGGCAGCGGCCAGGACGTCCAGCTCGAGCAGCGACAGCAGCTGCTCTCGGGCACCGACCGCCTCGATCGCTCTACGCAGCGGCTCAAGGCTAGCCAGGCTCTTGCCAACGAGACGGAGGGCATCGGGGCTGGTATTCTGGGCGATTTGCATACCCAGCGCGAGACCATCATGCACACCCAATCGCGCCTCCTTGAGAGCGAGGGATACGTGGACCGTAGCGTCAAGACGTTGCGGGGGATGGCACGTAGGTAAATATCGTCCCTATATCCCCTTGGTTGTTGGATGTTCTCGAGGTGGATTGGTTTCGGGCTAACACATTTCAAAAGGATGGCTACCAACCGGGTGATTACGATCTCCATCATCACCATTCTGGTTCTTCTCATTGTCGCCGTCATTTACAGCAAATTCAGATGAAGGACTGGAGCAGGAGCAGCAGTGTTGGCAGCAGTAACAATAAACCCCGTCGGGAGTGCGGGGCCCGGAGTTTTGGGTTGTATAAGGATTCTACCACGATTGTACTTTTTCCTCCTACCATTGGGAAATTCATTCAGTTTTCATTTTCTTATGTATGCTTTTTTTGCGAGCAAAGTGTGTGTGAGAGAGAAAAAGGGCCTCAAGCGCAATGTCATATAACGATTTGGGGAAAAGCCCCTGGTCTGGGTTTGAAGGCAAGGCCGAGTCCAAACAGAGACAGGCGTATTAAAAACGAAAAAAAGATCACCATGACTCTTAGACAAATGACAGTTTGACAGACGCCTCGACTGATGCATGAAAAACGTACTTCTTTCTAGCCGCTCTTTGTAAATATCAATTTCTTTTTTTTCTCTATGTACCGTACCCGACAGGACGCCGACATAACAATGTTTGAGATAACCCTCTTTTTCCCTTTTCAACTCGGGGTCGCTTTTGACCTCATTGAATGGGTATAATCACACTTTTAAATCTTCAAAGAAATCCCCTCTCCCCCTTCAACTCAGCTTCGTTGCAAAACGATCTCATCTCCGTCCACGGCCACCCCTACCCTTGTTGACACCTCCGCCCGAGGGGCCACCTGACCGTCTCCTGTCCTCGCCAAGTCCCTTGCGGCCGGCAGCAATACCGCCCTTGCCGCCGCGACCGCCGCGATCACCACCACCGCGACCACCGCCGCGTCCACCACGCCCGCCACGTCCACCGCGGTCCTGGCCACCCCGTCCACCACGGAAGGGGGGCCTACCGCCGCGGCTCTTGTCAACCTGAGCCTTGACGGCAGCGGCGTCGCCCTCGTCCATGTCCTCCATCTCCTCGTCGTCGCCTCCGCGCTTGTTGCTGAACTTGAGCTTCCCGCGGAGACCTCTCTTGCCGGCATCCTTGCCCTTGAGCGCGGCGACGTAGGCGTTGACGCCTGAACCGTCGTTGTCGGCGCCGTCGACCTCCATCGCCTCGTTATCGTCGTCCTTGCCGAGGATGAGCTTGCCGTCCAGGTCGGTCTTGGCCTTGGTCCGGCTCGGCTTGCGCATCTTGACGGGCTTGGTGGACGAGATGTTGGCCAGGGCGTTGCGGTCGAGCAGATCGAGCGGCTCGTCCTCGTCTTCGACAATGTACGTGTTGCCGCCCTTTCTGTTGCCGCGCTTGCCCTTGGCGGCCGGCGCACCCTCGTCGTCGTCGGACTCGTCGTCGGAGCCGTCTGATTCGCTGCTGTAGAGGGCCTGGTCGAGCTCGTTGTCGAACTTGCGTCCCTGGCGGCCGTCCTCCTCCTCGCTCTCCTCGCCGGCGGCCTTGGCCGCGTCCTTCCTCTTCTTGGCGCGCTCCTTGGTCTTGCGGATGTTGACAATGAGCTTCCTGTCGCTCTCTGGGCAGTTCTGGTTGACGAGGTCGAAGCCGAACTTGCGGACCATGCGCTCCAAGATGTGTCTGACCTTGCTCTTGAAGTGGCCCTTGTGCTCGTGGCTCCAGATGATGAGGTTGGGGACCATGGAAGACAGGCGGGGGATGACGAGCTCTGAGGGGAGACTGACGACGCAGATCTTGACGAAGCCGAGGACACTCTTGACAATCTCGCGATTGTTGGAGGTCAGGAAGAGGTCCATGGTCTGCACGAGGTCGGCCAAGGTCTGGGTGGTGAAGGATCTTCTGAACTCGTACAGCACGCGGCTGAGGGCGGTGATGGATGCTGAGATCATGTGAGGGGTGCTGCCGACGAGACCGGCGCTGACCATGGTGAGGAACTCCTCAATGTTGGCTTTGCCGGCAGGCGCGTCTGCGGGCATGTGGGGAATCTTGGTGTTGTCGATAAGGGCGTCGTTGGCAGACTCCATGCGGTGACCCATCTGGACGAGCAGATCGTATGCAGTCTCTCTGGCGCGCTCGTTGTTCTCCTTGCAGCAGATGACGACTTCACTAAGGATGGAGGGGATGAAGTGGAGGGAGGTATCGGGAACGAAAGGAAGCAGCGCAGAGAGAGCGGCGAGACGGTCTCTGCGGGCGGGGGCGGAAACCTTTTCGGCGCTCGTCAGGAACATCTGCTGCAGCTCGTCATTGCGCGCTGTGAGCGCCTCCTTGCCAATTTCTGACTCGGTAAGCCGGGGAACCAGCTTGTAAGCCTTCTTCTGCAGCTGAGGCTCGTTGTCCCTGAAAATGACGGCAGTGGAGATTTCAAATAGAGCCGAGTAGCTTTCGCGAGGCAAGTAGCGAGCAATGCAGATGATCAGATCCATCAAGGTGTTGCTAGTTGAGGGCATAGCATTCTGCTTGGCTTGTTGCTTGGGCTTCTCCTGGTCGGCGGTCTGCTGCAGTTCCGCTGCGAGCATCTTGCTGACACGGTCGAAGGTGTCGATGAGCTCCCTCTCGGGGGTGACGCTGAGGAAGGCATTGATGGTGAGGAGGATAGGTCCTCTTGTTTGGGGAAGGGTCTGGGTGTACACGTTAAAGAGAACAGCGAGCATGTTTCCGGCAAAGCTGCCCAAGTGCTCCAGGTTCTTCTTCGCAGTGGCCCTAGAGACACGGCTCTGAAGGACAAGGTCTTCTTCGCCGTCATCCTCGATAGTCGCAATAGCCTGGTTGGATTCGATGAGAACCTTGAGCGCACGGCAAACCTCCAGACGCAGGTCGACCTGCTTGTACAGGATGTTTGCCAGGAGCTCGGCGAATGACTGATCGAAAGCCTCGGTAACGTCAAGCGGGAGATCGCAGTAGCCGGGCAACGTTGCCCAAATTTGCTGTACGAGGGTCTCGAAGATCTTTACTTCCAAAGTCTTCTCGGCCTTGCCATGGTCAAGCACCTTTTGGAACATGAGCTCACTGAGAGGGACCATCTCTTGGCGGAAGTGGGCGAGGTTGGTGTTGCTGAGAAAGTCACGCAGGATGGGGAACATCCAGGCGCGGCCCTGCTGTCCCTTGGCGGGCTTGGCGATGTTCAGGGGCAGGATAGACAGAACAGCCTCGGGGCCCATTGCGCGGATGGCCTTGCCAATGACTTCGTCGGCTTCCTTCTTGCCTTGGAAAGAGTCGCTGCCGCGGAGTTCTCCGACAGCCTTGGTGATGTTGAGCATCATGGGGTGTGCGCGCCATCTCAAGGAGTCAAACATGGCACCAAAGACGTTGAAACTCTCCATCCAAGCTTGTTGATACTTGAGGCTCAGCAGAGACTCGGCAATCTTGGCAATCTTGTCTAGCGTCTTCTCATCGTAGATTGACGGCTCCAGAATGACCTGCTTGGGGACACAGTTCGCCATGAATGAAACCAAGCATTCGGAAGCGGAAATCCGGATGTTGTGTGCGGAGGACTCGAGGTATTGAGCGACCATTGAGAAAATCTCGGGCAGGTTCTGGAAAACATCCTCAGGCTCGAGTTGAGCGGAGACGTCGTAACCTCTCGAGAGGATCGCGAGCCATGGCGGAATAAGCTGTGTGTCGTTTGCAGCAGGGCGCAGTTCCGAGATGATCTCCATCAGTCGTGGGAGCTTGGACGAAGCGACCTCGTCGGCCATGCCCTCAAAGATCATTTCGAAAATCTCAAAAGTCGCCATCGTCATGTACTCGTTGCCGGTTCTTGAGATTCCGAGGAGCAGATCGCACAGAGACTCGATCTTCTTGCTAGGCCAACCACCACTTGCAGAGGCAATAGTCTTGATAAGCTGAAGAGCGTGGATTAGAGCGGGATCGTGCGCAGACTCGGCTCCCTTCTGCTTCTTTGCTGCCGCAGCCTTTCCAGCAATATCCTCGAGGTTAGCAAGAGCGGTGTGAGCGCACATATCCGCGGCCGGATGGTCGAGTGAGGGGCTCGGAGGCGGGTTCTTGAGGACATTTCGGAGCGCTTCCTGTGCCCTCTTGCGGATCTTGGGGCGCTGCTCGAGAGCGAGGTTGAGCAGACCGGCGACGGCTCTGCGGGGGCCAATCTGGGTCACGCCCAGCTCCCAAGCACCCGCATCTTGTGCGAGAAGAAGAGACTCAAGGCATCCGATGGACGAGCGGAGGAGGAGGGCTTCGGCATCTTGTTGCAGGAGAACGGGTGCGAGCGAGGTAAGGATCTGGGTGAACTTGGCGCGGAGGATAGGTTGGGGCGCAAACGGGGTGATGGTATCGAGGAGGTAGACCACGGAGGTCGTCGTGTCGGAGCTGATGTTGCCACTCTCGACAGCTTGTGTGAGGAGGGCGAGAAGGGCGGCGAAGTAGCCAGTCGGTGTGGGCTGAGCGTTTTGCTCCTTCAGTGTTGTGTCGACCGCCTCGAGGACTACGGCAGTCTTGGGGTCCTTATTAGCAACCACAATAGCCTGACTTGAAAATATTTGGTGAAGCTTACCCTCTTCTGACTTTGAAGACCCGGGGAGCGGATCTTGTCCAGCTTCTCGGCAAGAGTTGGAGTCGACATTGTGCTTGTCGTATTCCAATTCCGTCGGGGACCAACTGTGGAAAGAGACGATGCAAGTCAAAGCCGGTGTGGTCGAGAATCCCGTCCTCTCAGTGTCCCAAATTTTTCCTGGCGCAAAAAAATCCTTATCGAACCACCCCGCCCCCGATAAGACTCGCTTAACAAGGGTACGTACTGTGTCGGAAGACCGCTTTGGCCAGACGGTTGTCCATCTCGCACGGTCCTTCAACGGTGGTGGATTCCAACGTCGAAATCCCCCACAATCGGTGTCAGTTGCAGAGCCCAGGAATGTCATTTCAACTACGGAGTACCTTATCCGAGCCTGTATGAGGTAAAGTAGATGTATTTGCTCAAGACTTCTTGTATGGCTCATGTCGCTGCTGCTTACTGAACTACTCATGCGCTCACAGTGAGATAGGTCTGCATTGCAGCGGTTCTCACCACCTCAGTTAAGGTAAGCTAGGTACCTTAGTCACCTTTGCAACCCCCTATCGGTACCGAGTGAATCCATTGTAGGCTTTAACAGTAAATGTATTCGTGTTTACTAGACATTCTCTTGCTTTCA